ACGCCTGCCGCCGCAAACGCCATCGTGTTGTCGTGGAACGAGTTTCTGTGTCCTGCCGAGTGGTTCCGATGCAACGCCGTTCCGACCGCCGCGGCGCAAGCATCCCTCGCCCAACTCGATCAATGCATCGTCCAGTTGCTTCTCCACGCGAGCACCCTCGGACCTGTGTTTGTCTTGTGCGAAAATGGCGCGTCGTACATTGAAACGCTGTGTGCGGCGTGCTTACCTGGCTGTGCGCAACTGTTTTCGTCGCCCCAGCACCACGCGCGCATTCAGCTTATCTGCGCCGCCACGGCACTCACTCCGGCGTGGCACGGCCAGATTCTCCAGATGATTTGCACACAGCGTCTACCGGCGAGTGCGTCGTACGGTTTGGTCGTCATCGGGGGCGAGGGACTGCGCCGGGGCTGTCAAGAGCTGGCCAGTCACGCGCATGTGGTTTTGCCCAAGGTGCTCAAGGTGGCGGACTCGTCAGCTGCAAGCATGCCGGCGATCCTCCATCGCCTCGTGCGGGTGGGCAAACAACTCGGGGCCCTGCTTGCATACCGCGACCCGTTGGACTTGTCTATTTAGTTGAATGTATCACGCTCTTATGTATGTTGTTCATGCACGTTATAGAGCTGCAGTTGATGTCGACTACATCAGTGGTGGTTGAGCAGGCAGCTCAGGGATTCTCTGCCAAGTTGTGGCTCGGAGGTAGCACGAACGACGACCCAGTTCGAGAACAGCGACTGTGTACCAAACGTGGCGTCATGGACACCGTGGTCGAGAATGGACCTTGTGGAAACAATCACGCGGGGGCACCAATGCTCGTCCCATGCGAACTCGTTTACGTGGATGCACTATCCAAGTCAGCTCGTGTGTGTAGCTTGTGTCGCTATCTCGACAAAGAATTCCCTAGAGGCGCGTAGTGCGCTCGGTTTATAGTTTAGCGTCGCTGGGATAATTTGGCTTTCGTGGTGGAGATCACAAATGCCGTCGTCGCTATAAACATCACCGTGGTCTGTTGGGTGGGGGACAGCAACCAAGAAAATTCCCGGCCTACTTCATCCTGTGTCTAGCGGGGCAACGTGAGTCACCTGAAAGGCGAGGCCATGCTTGGTCGGCCATGTCCTTGTGCTCTGCATCGAGCTGCATTCGTCCACAAGTTTGGTCATCATGTGATGGTACTGTACAAAGTCAGCCGTGTGCGTTCGAACCGTGGTCAAAATCAACAAACTTTTGATGTGGAAGTTGCAAATTCATCCAATCAAATGATTCGAAAAATGATTCAAGCGCTCGGATTGGACCGTTGGATTTCGGACACACCGTCCGGTTCAAGACGTCCGGAACGAAATCATCCGGATAACTCGATTGGCCACCTCAAGGATGATGACGGTGCCAGACGACGGCAGCATCCCGAGTCGTGTCCTGCGGGAGGCCGTGCTCCGAAAGCTCGAAGGTCGAGTGTCAGCTCTTGTGCACGGAAAGAACTACCTCGTGGACAAGAAGGCGTTCATGGCGCACTTGAGTCAGGACTCGTTGACGCGGACGTTTCTCCAGGCAGGCGTCGTTGCGATCGCAAACCCGTATGCATCGCCCAAGACCGTCTCGTCAGTGCTGTCAGCATGGTCCCTATCCTTCTGGCGAGCCATTAGCTACACGACTGTCACACGTGTCTTGGAAGACATTAGCGTCCACTACTTGCGTCCCCGCATCGCTGGTTGAACACTTCCGCATTGCTCGACATCACAATCGTCCTAATCGGTCGTTCACGCAGGTGCACTCATGAAGGACGTGGCCAAGTCGTCGCTCCGCAAGTACGCTCGATATCAACGCGACAAGACGATCGCGGCATCGCTCATCTTCCACACAACGTTTCGAGCCGCGATCCTCCCCAATATGTCCGTCCTTCTCGTCGAGGCCGTTGTGGACATGTATCGACTTCCCACACACCGATGGTCAGCCTTCTTGCAGCGCAGTGTCGGTCGGTTCTTGGCCGCCCTCGCATACACATCGATCGGCGCAGCTTTGGCAACGTTGATCGCTCCTGGTGAATGGACGCGCATCGGAGCTAACCTAGGCGAAGCGTTCGCCTATGGTCACCTTGGCATGCAAACCCTCATGTGCAAAGACATCGTGCCAGTCGCTGGATTTTTCTGGCGCGTCACCAACTACCACACGATGTACCTTGAAGTATAATCCGGGCAATGACGATGTTTCCTTGAACGGGACAGTGTATATGCCATGCCTTCGTCAATTTTGGAGCGTGAGCAATGGGCGATTGCGATTTGCACACATCCTTGTAGCGAAGTTCCAGGCAATATGGCGCCCAGCAAACGTAGCAGTCGATTTGCGCAGGATCGCCTTGTAGCTTTGCTGCTACCGTGTGAACTCGGCATGCTGCGACATGTCCGGGGCGCAACTTCGCCCACGACGGGCAATGGCGCTGCTGCGATTTCCATGGCCCACCGTAGCCCCTCCGATGCCTGACGCAAGCCAAGGAAGAGATCAACTTCGAGACCTTCATCCTAGTGTAAACGATGCAATGCCACATCGGTGTTTCGAGACAACGCTTCCATGTTCGACACCATGGCTTGGTCGCATCTGCGCTGTGTCTGCAACGAGTTGGCGACCTACCTTCGGCGACAGGATTCGACCGAGAAAAAACTGCATTGTGATCCATGATGTCGCACGGATGGGTGATCTGGAGCCCCGAGATGACGGCGGCCAACGACAATTGTGGCGTGTTGGACGAGATTTGGTCACACGAAGCAATCGCCACGCTGTCGTTGCCAAGCGCTTGCATCATGGAATTCTCTGCATCGAGGTGCATGTTTCGTGGCAGGGACATCACTTGGACGATTTGCTAATCGATCCCAGTCGTGTTCACTCCATTCCAGAGAAAGATGTTAAACTTGAACGCGGTCTACGAACGTACGAGGCGGACGACATGGCCGATACGACTCGTGACACGAGCCCCGTCAGCGCTCGCATCCGCACGCAGCACTGTATTTTGGTGGGGGCACATGGGATTCCCCCCACTCGCGTTTTTGAAAGCCCCAATAGGACCGACATGCCCCACCACGAAGAGCGTCAAGTTACTGGACCACATGACTACCCGCGGCGCCATAGTGAATCGTTGTGGCGTAGCCAGGAGATCGGCGACGAACGAATGGACGTTTACTGGAGGAGAACGCTCCACACTGAGTCGAGATACCCTTCGATCCAACGCGCCAAGGTCGCATCTCCAGGAAGTAAGCCGTCGAGCTTGGGACGCCTCACACGAAGGTTGCATTCACGTTGAAAGCGTAGCAATAGACATCCCACACCCCCACGGCCGTTTGCGACCTCGTCCACCATCCCCACACAATGCCTCCACCGTACAGAGGAATCAAAAATGCGTAGCACGTTCAACGCAAGAGCCAACGTGTCTAACTCATCTCCCTGTGGTGGCGCCACGAGATCTCGTGTACCGAGGCACTTCCTGAAAGCTGGCGCCCGTCCGCTGCGGCGAACCCACGACCAAGCACCGCCGTTCCATTTGGTCCAACCTGCCTTTTTTGTGTGCAACCTCATTGGACAAAATTCGCGTCGTATTGTATGGACCATCATTCGGAGAAACGACGAGACGATGGCGACAAGGCGGTCGTCGGCGGCGGCGCCGACGACTCCACCAGAGCGCTCCATTGCGCGCAAAAAGGACGAGACCAAGAAATCGGGTCTAAAGCAATGCACGCGAGTCCTCTCCTTGCATAAGGGCAAGCTCCAAACGTACACGCTCAAGTACGACGACGCGACCATGTACGTCGGCGAGATCCACGTCGGGTCGAGGCAGCGCCACGGCCGAGGCGTCTACTACACAGCGCAAGGCGACGTCTTGGACGGCGAGTGGAAAGATGATCGCTTCCATGGGTACACTCGCGTTGGCGTCGTGCGGCGTGACGGACGATCGTTGTGGTAGCTTTGGCACGAGGGACTTTGCCACCACCCGTGACCGTCACGAAGGCATGTACCACAAGGACAAGCGCCATGGACGCGGTACTTACCTGTGGGCGAACGGAGACAAGTACATGGGGGAGTTTTACAACGGCAGGGTACGACTTCCGCCGCTTCCTGCGCGCCGAGTGGACTCGGTGCTGATGCTGGCGCGTGGGTAGATGCACGGCAAGGGCGTGTTGCTGTCTGCATCGACGGGCGACGTTTTTGAAGGTATTTCGGTCGAGCATTGCCGTCATAACGAGCTGTGGACGCAGGCACTTGGGTCAAAGGTGTCGTCGCCCACGGCACGAAGCGGTTCGCAAATGGGGATACGCTGCAAGGCACCGTCTCCGCGTCGACGTGGAACGTCGACGGGACGCTGACGGGAGAAGGAGTCAAGACCTACCGCAACGGAAACGAGTACCGCGGGCGGTTTGACCGGGGCGTCCAAAGTGGGTTTGGCACGTTTCACTGGAGGTCCACCGGAAACGTGTACGCTGGCATGTGGGTGGCCAACACAATGGATGGCTACGGGCGCATGGAGTACATGCCGTCCATGCCACTAGCAGACAGCGGCCGCTGCCACGTGTACGTCGGCACGTTCGCCAAGGGCGAATTTCATGGCCATGGTCGCATTGAGTACGCGAATGGCGACGTGTATGAAGGAGCGTTTGAGCGAAATGTGCGCCACGGCCGCGGCGTGTTCAGGGGGAGATGGGACTCGTATGAAGGGAGGTGGGAGGACAACCATCCTCAAGGCGTCGGCTGCTACATCGGAGACACGGTGACGTACCATGGTCAGTGGGTCGGCGGGTGGCCGCAGGGCCGTGGCATGTACACGTGCCGCGCGTCTGGCGACAGGAAGCGCGTCCAAATCCATCAAGGACAATGTGCCGACGATCCAAATTTGACGTTCAATCCATTGATTTTGCTGGAGTATTCCATTGTGAAACCCCGTCGCGAGTTGGTGGCACTGTCGACAGGGCGATCTCTTTCGCATCCAGCGCGACGTGGACGAAGGAATCGTTGGATCCTTTCGTGGAGGTGCTGTCTCGAACGTTCAACTGTAGTGTCGGCAATCGTGGCCTTGCCCCAAACGAAGGTTTTAGGTTCGCCGAGATGCTTGCACCCCATGCCGCCGGCATTGGGATGCTACGCGATCGTGTCGCAGACATGAAGCGTCGTTGTGCGAGTCCACCGAGCTGGACAAAGTCGGTGATGCTCTTTCCCCGAAAGAATGCACTTGCTTGATGAGTGGCGGCAGGGGGGCTGGCCAGGAGGCCAACGTGAACCACGGAGTTGCCGTTGGTTTGTTCGGATTCCACTTTGCCGACTGGCGAGCACGTCGTCTTGAACACTTCGAACTAGTCCTTTGGCCGCCCCCCGAGTTCGCCCAAGCACGCGCTGCCCGATTTGGATGGACAGGAAGACGGGAGCACGCCCGACGGCCATCTATCGAGTCGACGCCACGAAAGAAGAGGGCTCAGTGGGAGAGGGAATTGCGAATCGAGCGAGCAGCGTTTGAATCGTTGTTGGTCATCTACCGTCCTGTGGCTACTTTTGAAAGGATAGAGCATTGACGCGAGGCCCCCCCCCACGCAGTCTGTCAGTCGTGTGCTAGCCCCCTTCTTCACGCAAATCCATCGCGTTGTCCTGACGCACATCTGGGCGATCCAACGACGTGCCGCCGTCCCGCATTGGTTAACGAAACAAAACAATCGCACGCCGGAGGAATCCCGTGCACGTTGCAAACTTTCGTTGGATCGAAAGCTGTTCCATCGACTTTTCATCCAAGTGTGGCTGTGGAACCAAAGTGTGTCGAGTTCGGTGGCATGCGGTATCGATTCGCCCGACTCGAATGCTGCCTCGTGACAGGGGACGGAAAATCATCACGACCGACTCGCACTACGTCCAAGGAAACTCCACGTTGTGATTCAACCGGGCGAGTCTGTACTAGTGTAGACTCTGCTGTGGAGGCTGTGCATCGATCGGGACCCATCCGGCCCCCCATCCTTCACAACACGAATTCGCTTTGATCCCTCCTTGGCGCGTGCAACAGAGGCTGTACGTTGGTACTGGGGCGGACAGGACACACACCCCATGACCCGGGACAAAACCATGGCCTGGACCTGGCATCCCACCTCGTAACCTGGCCGTCCTTGTGGCTATAATCGAGCGAACGACATGACGTCAGATCGACTCGTGGGGGCAGAGGATACCCAGGGCCACAAGCGATGGGGCCAATGGATCGAGCAAGATGCTGCACGATTTTCTCGTCCTTGAACACGGAAATACTTACTGGTCGTACATGGACTTCTACCCCAAGCCTAGCGATGGAAACGAAGTATGTCGTGGGTGGTCTGTTTCGCTGAAAGGGGCATCTTCGCCATCTCTTCTGCGCCAGTCTCACCACCGCGAAAAGGTATGCCGCTGCTGTTGAGATCTGCCGTTGTGTCTCGCGGATGCTATCGGCGTGTTTTCCCATCATCTTTCGATACCCTTCCAAGTCGTGGATGTCGACGGGGTGGACGGGCACGATGCTCTGTTCGCCCAAGAGCAAGAATGGTGGATGAGCGGCGCGAGGCAAGTCTACTGTGAGCATCCAGGACGCGTGCAGGTGTTGTACGATGTGAGTGGTAGCATTTCATTCGAGCTCATATGGACATGGACGTCGTGTGTGCTGCATTGCTCCACTCGTGATGCCCGACAACTCCCTGCTGTGCCGAAGACAGTGTGGCTGTAGGAGGATGCAAAGCACGATGGCATTGTCCACGAGTTGACCAGAGCAGAGTGGGCGGGGGAGGGAGGGCACGAGAGCCGCCTCCAGACGCGTGATGGCCAACTGGATTCCAAAGGGACCCCCATGGCGCCACCTCGACTAGAAACTCTTCGTCGAGCGACTTGCATTGGATGTTGCGGCACACCAACTGCGCCGTAGGATATTTGGCACAACGTCCGAGCAACGTGGGCAAACGGGAGCGATGAACGACTCACGCTGCTGTACTCGACGCTGAACGACGCTGCAGATCTTTATGCGATGACGTACGAGAACGGTCGACTGTTGGCGTATCCTCCATTGCGTCGAGTACTTGTTTCATGCGGGCAGCTCCAAAGTGGCGGACGAGAAAGACATGCGTCGTCATGTCCATGCCAGCAGTGATCCCGCACGAAGTCGAAACATGGACGTCGTCGACCCATTGCACGCGCACCACACACTTGATGCGACGTTCTGTGCCGTAGGTAGACGTGACTTGGCGAATTGCCGACTTGTTAGCATGCGCTTCCCGTCCAAGAGCCCGGTAGCGGCGAGTCACCGGTGCACACATTCAAGAGGCATGTGGCAGGTTTTTGCCTGGTGCAGAATGAAGCGTTGATGCGCAGGATCGTAGAACAGCGTGCGACTTCCAAATCCTCCTGTCAAATGGACGGTCGATCCGCCATCCACCAAGAGTTGACAAGATGAGGCGTCCTGTACCTGGAAGCACATCCACGAGTGGAAAACACAGTTGAAGGAAATCGAAGCGCGCATGGGACACCCTCCATTCGGAGGAAGCGTCCACGTGATGCCCGTCGACACCGCCACCGTCACCACGACCAGAGCGTCGCGTAGGTGGACAAAGAACTGCATAGGACCTCGGGTTTGTCCACCAGGACGCTATCATGAAGGAAAGCATGGCCATAGAATACCACACGCATCCATCATGGCAAACTCGTCCAAGAGAACCTCTCCGACCGTCCACTCGGTCGACGCGGCCGCTTTCACGTCGACGTGCGTTTGTTCGAACCAACCACGAGTGAAACTGTCGTTCACTTGACAAACATTCCTAGTTTACAAGTTGGCGCGAGGAACGGACCGCCGACGTCGTGCGGCACACGTCGAGCCAGCAGCACGTCCAGCCTGTGGTGGAAAAGGAAGGACGTAGAGGGGTGCAACTGCCTGCGAAGCGCGGGATGCACGTTGACTCGTGTGACACCCAGATGATAAGATCCCGACGACGCAAGCGACAACGAGTCGCTCGGAGCAAGCATCTCGTACAAGCAAATGCAATGGATGGGGCGCGAAACGACATGGACGTACACGTCGGCATTCATCATGATGGTACGAGCTGCTCGCACGCTTGCTCGCCACGAGGCTCTCGACCGCGACGCAGTGGATTCTTTGCAGCGAAGACCCATCGTTCGTGTTCCAGTTACGGAAAGAAGGCACCCGAGAAAAAGATCTATACGACAAAGCATACCCTATCCAACATGGTCCACGCGGCGCATTGTGGGTCCAACATGCATCATATTTAGTGTCGACCAACACAATCCACCCCGGGACGGCCAAAGGCATCCTCGCGATTCAAGCCCAGCGGACTTAGAGCGAAGGGAACGCATTCAAGTCCGACACGTTGGGCGCGTTGGCCTTGCCGCCCGCCGCCTTCTTGGCGTCGCCACGACCAGCACCACGGCCACGGCCACCTTCACGGCCACCGCGGCCGCCGCGACCACCACGGTCCTCGCGTTCTACGCGGTCAAAGCGGGGAGGGTTGATGGCGGGGGCGCTAAAGCCAACATCGGTCACAAGGTTCTTCTTGCGGCCCGACGTCTTCTTGGTAAACACCTTTTCGAAGTTGGACTCGATAAAGTCGGGGGTCTTGCCTTCCTTCGAGATCAAGGCGGCGCCGTCAAAGTCGTTTTCGACCGTGCGGAGCTCCTTTTCCGCAAACAATTCGCCGTTCGAGCGGGCTTCCTTCTTCTTGGCGAGGTACTCTTCGTACGTGATGGTGTTGTCCACTTCTTCTTCGACGACGGCGACTTCAGGCACAGCGGCTTCTTCGGCGGCGATTTCCTTGGCCTCGTCAGCGACGGCTTCGTCCACGGCGGCTTCAGCAGCTCTATTGACAACGTGTTGTCGGTAAGAAGGTGCCACGTGGAACGGCCATGAAGGAACACGTACTGTTCAGCCTTGTCATCTTCGTTGCCCCAGTTGCGGGCACCGCCACCAGACTTGGACACTTCCTTACCACGACCAGTGCCGCTCTTGCGGTCAAAGTGGCGCTTGCGTTCCGAGCGTTCGCCGCCTTCGGCATGGTGGTGCGAGCGGTCAGGGCGTTCGCCACGTTCGCGTTCGGCGCGGAGGTTGGTGCCAGTGGAGCCTTCGGGGCGGTCCTGGCGAGGGGCACGTTCCGAGCGAGGGCGGCGTTCACCTTCGGCGCGCGGGGCACGTTCACCATCAGGGCGAGGACCACGGCCTTCACCGCGACCACCACGACCACCTTCACGGGCGCCACGGCCTTCACCGCGGCCACCGCGGCCACCGTTGCGACCACCGTCTTGCTTCTTGGCGGGTTGTTCGCCTTCCTTGCGGGGCTTCACCGTCTTGGGCTTGGTGGGTTCAGCCGCCTTGGGCGCGGCAGGCACTTGCACCTTTTTCGTGTCTTCGTCGTCCGAGTCGAGAGCCGCAAAGATGTTGCGGGATGCCTATCTCGACACAAACCACGCACGATTGGCGATCGTACCACACACAGAGAGACCGGCCGCCGCGGCGACACGTACCATGGCAGTCGGGGGGTGGTAGAATGTCCTGTCCGGAGTGAAAAGTGACAACTGAGGGCTGCCATTGTCTTGCCGATAGCTCCCCACCAACCATAAATTTGATCGGCGGGCGATTCCATCCAATCACACGCGACGATTGGTTGATTCAGCGAAAAAACATTTTTTCGGTCGTTTTGTTTCTCGAGAGACCGCCCCGAACCAGCAACGGATTTATTTTTCGCCGAAAAAAACATTCAAAGTCCCCATCGTGTGTGCGCGTGTCCACCGCCGCCGACGCACGCCGAGAAGCTGGATGCAGATGGAGCACACGATGGATTTTTGGTGGAATGTGACGAGAGAGGAACCCCTCGCCGGAGAAAGGTGCTTGTGGTGACCAAGCCCAGGAGTCCAGTTCTATGGTCCACGTGTTCTCCTGGACACCTCGACACGAAGCTCATATGTACACCAGAGACAACGGCAGGCTCACGCGAGCAATGGCCATAGAAGCGCGGAAGACTTGCCGCGCCTGCGACATTGGAGTCGCAACGCCCCCTCTTTCATGACGTGGTGTGTGCGTACACATGGAAAACATCGAAGGATCGAGAGGGGGCAGTGAAGGAGGCTCGTCAGTGGGTCAGTGCGACATGAGCACCACCACGGCGCGCGAGACGGCCCCACATAAATATGGCTGATCTCCTACGCGATGAGGTGCAAGGCGTCATTGCAACTGATGCGAAGGCAGGTCGTTGACACGTCGAACGTCACGGCGGCTGGTGTGCTGTTGGCAACAAATTCGTTGCTCCGAGTGCCGGAGAATGGAGTTTCCGGATACAGTACTGTACGGTTAGTTTTCAAGTGGATGATGGATTTTGAATTCAACACAGGCGAATGAATGCCTCAACTCTGGGATTGGCACACTGCCGACAGCACGGCACGTGAAGAAGGACGACCGCCACGACAGTGGAGTTGGCATTCTTGATGAAAGCTGAAGCGTCACGGAGGCTACCACCTCGCGTTCGTAAGCCTAGCTCTTGCGGTTGCATCGTTCAAGTCATGATGCACGTCCATCCCATGCAACGGAAGCGTTGGGTTTGTTTTGTCAAAGAAATTTCGCAGTTAAATAAATCGCATAAAAGGTGGTATCACTTCGATGCACTGGAAGAGGGGTGGGTCGTCGGGGGAGGCGCCATGTCGGAGAAAGTACCACCAAAGTCGACCACGTTGACGTCGATCGTCACGGGGGGACTCTGCTGCAGGACCACAGTGCATTGACATGCGGCGGCTAGGAGACCGCAGTGCAAGCAGCGGTCGACCGTCCACACCAAGTCGAGATCGTTGCTGCTAAACTCCATCTCAATCGACGTCCATTCGAATGCCGCCATGTCGAGGGCGATGGCCGTGGTGGCGGGCGCTGATGCCGTCGGCATGTCAAGGTTGCAAGAAAGTGCGAATTGGAGAATGGGAACCTGGATGCAAGCACGAGAGAACGTTGCCCAGAACGCTGATGAACCCATGGCGAACCTGCACAGGCACACTTTTCGGGTCGCCGATGACGCTTGCGCGTACAGGCTGCGACAACCAGAATGAAATGTCCGCATAAAGATGACGAGTTGCTCGCAAATATCCGGTTAACCAACATGCCGGTTATGAAGTCCGTACGGTATTATCCGAACATGAAACAGCATTATCCGCTTTGAAATCCGGATAATTCGGCGGCGTCGTGAGTGGCGGGTTCGGGGTGGTCGATGACCAAGGACGAAGCTTCCGCCGGTGGACGAGCGCAAGGGAAGAAGAGGAAGAACCGCAACAAAAATGCGATCTACGTGCCTCCGGGACGACAGGGGAAGGTGTCGGTTGAAGACAAGGCGGAATCTGGAAGCGCAGGTCCAGCAGGTAAGAAAGTGAAGCGAGTCGAAAGTGTCCCTTGTCCAGCTGCTCCGTTGAAGCCAGCGCTAACGACGCGTGGATCGGTCGTCACCAGAGCAGCGGCTTCAGTGACCCCGTTACCGTCTGCGGTCGTCCCCACTCCTCAACTGGATGTAGCAACGTCGTCGGCAGGAAAGAAGAAAACCAAGAAAAAGAAGCGAAAAAAGGCGGGAACGAGTGGTGACGAGTCACCGGCACTCCAGTCCACGCCAGGAAACTCCAAATTGACGGAATCGCCCATGAAAGTCGCGCGTCGACTGAATGCCGCCGCCGTCGGAACAACGACCCTTCAACGCAGCTCAACGTCGCAAGCTACCCACAAGACGACGAAACCACCTCCACCTAGTGATGAAGCTTTGCTTCCGCCTCAAGCCGTCGCTAGGAAAATCGCAGTGCTTTCTACTCTCCCCACAGCCAACGAGGGTTCCCCGAATCAAGAGACCACTGCACCGCTCAAACCTGTGTTCGAATCGCCACCAAATGGTCCAATTGAAAGCACTCGATCAACTCCTGGAGTAAACCCATCGCTGCGTTCAGGTGTGTCGAAGTCGTCCCTTGCAAAAAAACGTAAGAAAGCAAACCGGTTGGCGGCAAGAGCGGTGCAACAAGGCCAAGCAGATTTACCTGGCATGACGGCGACTTCCCACGAAACATCGCCTGTTCCAGCAACCGCTACCAGCTCACGCGAGCCCCCGCGACCCACTGTCACAATACCTGCGCTTGCATCCGGTCGTTCTTGCGCAATACCCGTCCAAGCAAGTGCTAGTCACTCAAGTGACTCAGAACTATCGACGAAACGTGCCATGTCGTCGTTTGCGTCGCCAATAGATATCATGTCGACATCGCAGCCACTGCATCGTTTGGAGAAAGCACAAGAGGGCACTGCCCCCGCACAGTCTTCCAAGATCTCAAGTCCAGTGGATTCGACCTCGCCGGATGATGCAATCGCCCAGACTGAAGGTGGAGCATGCAAGGCAACTACTTCCCCGTCCGCTCCTCTTGCAGCATCTCTACCCAAGGCAGCAGTATGGAACGAACATATCTCTGGGAGTGCCGTGGCGTCCGTTGTTTTTACCGTCGTGAACTCGGCAACGACGACTCCCGCATTGCCCAACTCCGTGCCTGAACCGACATGTGGAGTCCCTACTGCTGCAGCACCGATTTTGGAAGCAACCGCCATACAAGCGACGATGGAGTCCCCCGTGGCACTTCGGGCGGACAAGGTCATGCTATCGCCCAACTCGGAAGCAGCACCGCCAATGTCAGCCCCCGCACGTGCACAAGTGTTAGCTTCGCACACAACAGAGTCTCCACCAGGGCTTCCAACACTGACAGACGAGTCGATCGTGGCAAGCAACACAATTCCATCGCTCCATTCGACTCCAACAGCCAAGAGCCCACCTGCAGTCAAATCAACACGGACTGAAGAGCCGCCACCAGCTCCTGCGCGAAGACCGATGCCGCGTACGCACGCACGAAACCAACCACACTCAGGGGCGAATACGACTCCGTCACGTCCAGCAGAAGCGCATGCGGCAAGGCAATTGCCGTTGGCATCTCCCCGGCAACGACCAACCGAAGAACGTATGAGAGAACTCGAGGTCCAGTTGTCGGCAGTTGTCACACCCCACGAAGAAAGTCCGCCCGTCACCCCGTTGAACGAGTCAATTCGTTTAAACGAGCTCGCTTCACACTCGATCCTGGTGGCTCCTTTGCTTCGAACACGTCGAACCGCGACGACCCCATCGGCTTCCCCTCGCTCTGACCCCCGTTCGGTCGAAGCCCCATCCATTGCTTCTTCGCCACGTGCCCAGCGAACCCCACGTTCTACCACTGATCCGACCCAGCAAGACCATTCATCGTGTCCCCCAGTCGGCGCAACGCCCTCGTCGATCGCTTTATCCCGTACAACTCCGACATTCTCGTCACAGGATACGACTGCAACCCCTTTTCGCATCGGCGGTCCGAAAGCAGCGTCTGCTGCAGCGTCTCTGTTCTCGGAACCTCCACGCATGCTTCCGAACCACGTTCCGTCCATTACCCCCACCACGTCCGCATGGACGGTGACGTCGTTTGGCACGACCCCGTCCATGGCAGCAAATGCATCCACCCACGTGGCATGTCCTCCCTTGAGCACTTGGTTTCTCTCGTCGGGACAAGCCAACTTTATTCGACAATCGTACGACCATGCCAAGGCGAAAGCCGCGAGGGCCTCGACTGCTCGCGCTCCCGACCTGTCGGCGGACGAGAAAGCGTTTTACGCCAAGTTGGCATCGTCGCATTGGCGCAGTTGGTACACGGCGGCATCGGTCGCCCCGGACTCTGTGCTTGATCCACCGATTCCCCATGTTCCGACCAAAGTCCAAGCAAAAGTGGATTCAGTTAACGCGACGTTGCCGTCATCGCACGGTGTGGATCCAGGCGGTAGATCTTCTTCCTCTACACCGACGTCGTTTGATCAAATGATGCAAGCTGTCGCCCACGAAAAGGCAGCGTCGAGTTCGTTTGAGCACCAAATGATCCAAGTTTTGCAAGGAAAGACCTTGACCGGCCAGTCGTTTGAAGAAGCGTATCGAGACGTGCTGTCCTAGTGCTAGACATGGGTAATGAAAAAGATCGTGAGCCATCGACGACCTTATTTGAACCCCACCACGCACAACCTTTGACAGACGCGATCGCGATCCAGTTTTGACATTCATGCACACGTTGCAGGGTTCCGCCTGGACGCTCCGTGGACGGCTGCATCCGACTCAATCGGGCCACTGGTCTCAGCTGCAGCAGCAAGCTTCTCTGTGGAAGAAACAAGTCCCCGCCAATGACGTTGGCAACAGACTGGTCGTTGTTGTGCTCATGTGTCAGAACGGTCATCTCGACCGGAGATGCCCAGTGATGATGGTGAGACCGAGCTCCTTCTTCATCGGCTCTGCGTACCCAACGACGTAGACAGCTTGTGGGCTGCGCAGAGAATCGCCATGAATGGAATTGCGGTGACGGCTTGGGTCTCGCGCGGATTGAGCCATGTATTCTCGAGGGCAATGGTACCAAAGGAAAAGGTGTGCCTGTGCTGAGATCCTAGTCGAGTGTATGGTTTTGTGGACAATGGACGAATGACGTGTATGTTCAAGCACATGGAGACGGTGTGATCACGTGGGGGAGTCGTTTATTGGAGGATTAGCGCGCCTTCGGTGTCGACACCGCCAGCACTGTGCCGTCCTTCTGCTCCTGCACGACCACGTTACGCTTCGTGGTGACAATTCGGACAACGGGAGCAACTTCGACGCTATCGCTCGACGGATTCAACGCTTTCGCTCGCGTCACCAAGCTGTTCAACGCCCCCAGCCCAGACCGCACTTCCTTAAAATCCCCATACGCTCCCAGCAGCAGTCCATGCGCGTCGTTCCACGCCACGCCATTCAAATCATCTTCTTGAGCACTATACACATACCCACATGAGGTCACCCGTCGGGCCTGGCATCGCCGTGACCTACATCGACGCCAGCACGTTGTTCATGTTGGCCCCGCAGAAAACCAAAATGCTACCGGATACATTCTTTATCCGGATCCAACCTGCATTAAACAATATTTGTAAATATCCTCTTATAGAGGCTTGACAGCGTTTCACTTTCGGCGGCGTCGCAGCACGCGGCGGAAGGACGACGACGTGAAGGATGGTACAGGGCTCGATTAGCAAATATAAACTTAGGTGGCCTAGATATCTAACGTGCCGTGCCAGTTTAGGCGGCGTTGGCCACGGGCTTGTCCTCCGCTGCGGCGATGGGCACGTCCGCGACAAAGTCGTTGTGGGTCGCGAGAACTTGAGCGATGGGTGCAATGATGAAAGCAATTGACCCGACGACAAAGTAGTTGGTGCTGTAGACCAAGTTGTCGACGGCCGTGTCGCCTTCGACGAACAAGAACTTGGGCAAAAAGTAGTAGCTCCCGACAATGAACAGAGTGTTGCCGACCATGTTGAACACGGCGACGGTCGTCCAGAGCCCGACAACAGGCTGGTTGGCACGGATCATGCGCGGGATGTCGGCAAAGATGGCGAACGAAAAAACTGCGCAACCAGCAACGAAGAGGTAGCAGCCAAGGGCCGGGTCTTCAGCGTAATACGTCGGCAAGAAAAACACCCCACCGTACACAAAGCACACTGACCCGATCACGTTGCTGACGGCCGTCGTGATCGGGATGTAGCGTTGCCAGTCGACGGCGCCAATGTGCGCGGTGCGGGCGTTCACGACTTCAATCAAACTTCCGACAAGGAATCCGATGCAACCGAAGAGGAACAACCAGCCCCCGATCAATGGGCCTTGGCCATCTTCGCCGTACAAGGTAAAGTACCGCGGGTAGAACAAGATGGACCCAATCAGGAAAAACCATCCGCCGATGAGGTAGCACACGCCCGACGACTTAAACGTGAGATGGACAAACCGGTCGACGATCGAGAGCGTCGTGGCGCGGAAGGCAACTGCGGGGTCCTTGGGCGAGGCACTTTCGTGGTAGCTCATCGTGCGCAACGAAATGTGGAATGGGTCACGGCTGGACAACATCGTTCATATGGGGCGGCTCTCCTCCATTCCTGCGTCGTCCGTGATTCATTACTACTACGACCACCTGCGGACGACTTGATGGTGATTCCACGTCGAGGCGGCAGCAATTCGAGGAATACCCGGTCTTTGACACGATATATCGGGTTTTAAATGGGTATGTATGTTTTACATGGGTATGTGGGTATGTCTGGAGTCTTTTATCCCCTTCGCAGCATGATCCAGGCAGCGGAGATGATGTGCATGAGGACTGCAATGGGAAAAACTTCTTGGCGCAAAGAAATTGGTGTTACGAGCTGACGACGACTGTACGCGAACTGTTCAGTGCTTTGCGTGGTCCGTGCGCTCGCATTTCGGCTTCGTGTCGGTGGCAGAGGCGGAGATATGTGGACCACTACACCTGGACATAGAGGTGGTTTGATTGGCCGCATCGAGGCGGCGGGTCCACCCTGCACCCAGGTGCAAATACCCGACAGCTTCACCGACATGTCGCACTGCACTACACTGTATTTCCATCGACACGTGAGTATGGATCCGCCGGCTTGCCGCCGGCTGGCACTTGGCCATGCCCCTCGCATGGATGGCCCTGCACTTGGAGAAATTCAGCCACGTGGAGGTACACATCGTGGCGGAGAAGAAAGAGCGGACGAGGCCATCACCCATCGTTGACGTCACATGGTCATGAGATGCCGCAGCTGTACAGTCAAGCTGTGGGTGAGCGATGACTTGTAGTCGATGGCGGAGTGCTCGCGGTGGAGCCGAAGCTCGGCAAGAGCGATTGAAAACTAAAAGTACACGAGCACGTATGAAGAGTTCGTGGTATATGAGGTCATTTCGTCGGGGGTTGGAGGTCAACTCAACTCCATCGCATGCAAAGCTCCCTGTCCATATCGAGCCGTGCTTGTCACCTTTGGCACTGTCTAGCTCGTGCATGTCCAACTACTGCGCTGTCCCATCGACGACATCGCTACAAGCAAATCCATTCACCCGCCACATTGTCCTCGATCTCTTCCAGCACGTTGTCCCCGCTCCTGCTACCCATGCGGATGCTCAATCACACTCCTCAAATCGTCTAGGTGCCGACAACATACTTGCCCGTTGGACTGTCGACTGCGTCGCAGTTATAGCGCGGGGGCTGCCGTGGAGTGGCGGGACGTCGGTGTCGCCCGACGCTTTCGAGCCATCGCGTTTGCTTTCGTGGTCCCTTTTCGCTCAAATGAATGGTCCACTCGGTTAGGAGGATTCATAGCCGATTTTCGTTTGCGGAGCCCCTGAGGACCATCTGCGTGATACGTCCTGGGCCCCACAGACTTCGTCATTTGAGCACTCGCCTCGTTGCACCATTCTATCGTTGGGGGGCTTGGCGTGGTGACGATAGCTTTGTCCAACAAAATACTATCCGCTGACGATGATGCTGTTCGGCTGGTCGCCGGGGGCTTCGCTGTGGCCGGGGGGGGGATGGGGCTGGACATGGAGCTGCTTCCTAGCTCGCATCAAGCCCCGAGGGGGACGATGCATGACGTCGAATCTCTCCGATTTTTTGGCATACGGTCGGAGTCGCGGTCAAGGGCGGGGCAGCTTCCTCGGTCGGGGGTTGGGTTTGTCGCCCATGGTATCCCTGGTTGAAATGGAATATGCCCAGCACTTAATCTCCACGTCTACAACGCGGAAGACGGTCCATGCATATGCAATGACGAGAACCTCAGCGCAGGAAGGCCAGCGCCATCACCATGCCCCCCCCACGTGCTTTGTCCAAGGTCCTCCACACTATTCCTAGCTACTGTCCCCCTTAAACCAAATCGTCGTGTTAAGGCTAAATTCATCACTTGACCTCGACAGTGTTGTCACGGGGGGAAGCTAGATGGTGCTCATACGTGCCCATCGTCGCATCCCGGCGCCCGCTGTCATAGAAATGCGGTTGATTGATGTCCACTAGCTTGCGGCAGGCAACGATCGTGACGGGGAGCGTAATCAGGAGCACGACCGCCGCCGCCAATTCCACCCAATACCCCCCGGCAAACGACGCCACCGCCGGAGTTTGCACCGACCAAATAATGAACGACGCAATGGAGCTGGCAAACGCAAACGTGGTAAGCACGGCGGCCGACACCAGCAAGTACCATCGCGTGCGGTAGTAGTCGGTAAAGTAAAACCAGGCCAGGAGAATAAGCGCAATCGCCGCCCATCCTGGCACCATGGCCGCCAAAATCAGGCTGGCCCAGCCCAAGCTGCCGCACGATTGCTCAATGTACACTCGCGTGTCGCTGGGGTTCGGTGTGAGCGCCACTAAGTTGCGAAACGTGTGCCCGCTTCGGTCCAACGAGCAAATGCTGTCCGTGGCCTCGACATATAGCGTTTTGCTCACGACAATCCCGTCCGACGCCGTGTGGAACGGAAAGCACTTGTTCACGATGCCGGGGGGCGGGGCATCCATCTCGGTGGACGAGGGCCGCGCCACGTCGACGCAGAAGCCCCACACGCCAGCATTGAAGTCGTTGTTTTGTCTCGACGAAGTCGACCAGGACGACAGCGACACAGCCACGATTGACAAAATGATCGCCACTGAAAGGAGCCAAATGGCAAGGGCAGGGGCGGCGCACATATTCGTCGTTCAAACAAGGGTACCAAGCACGCCGTCAATCTCAAAATGCTGGCCTGCGTCGCGCCACGACTCAGCGCGAACCACCGTTCGTTACCTGTTTGTTGGAGCTCTGTTCTTTCGATCGTTAGGATGGAAAGCGACTTGCCCGTTGTAGCATATTTACCCCGTGTCCCAGCCGTTGAGCCGATGAAGTTGTCGTAGCGTCGGAGTGGAAGACTTCCTCCATGTCAGAGGCACCACGACAAGCCCAGTCCCCCGACGAAGGGCGCGATTGCCACAAGGAAAAGCAAAAAGGGGAGGCGGCGCGTACTGTCAGCTCACCGGCCGTGTTTCAGAGCCAGGTGGCGAATTTGAGGGCCAAGTACGGCGGAGATCGAATGCACAACTCCAACGACAAGACCCATGATGAAGGCGGCAACGACACCGACGGTATGCCCGCGGTAATGCTACAAAGTCAAGTGGCCAACTTACGAGCCAAGTACAGCGAGTCGATTCCACGGGATAGATAAACCGTCTGCAGCGTTCAATACAAGGCAACTACCATTTGAACTCCATGTTCGAGCCCTCCTCACACATCGTAAAAAGGGAAATACGTCGTGGATGAAGCGTGCGGCTATAACTGGTTGGAAGGAAGCGTGGCGTCGCACAGGGTCGCCTTCTCGGCTTGCGATCCCACCAAAGAGTAGAGGCGCTACAGAGCCAACCCCCTTGAGCCGTCAAGTCCCCAACATGGCTCACCCTGTCACGTACATCAAAGTAGCGCGGGGCGCGCGTCGGCCACAGCACGTAGACGAGGACACCTTGTGCAGCGAAATGAATCCCCACTGTCACTGACTCGACAATCTATCCCAGGCATCCCCGTAAGAATGCAAACTCCCCGACGCCGCCCCCAATTTTCACCTCACCTTTTCACGGACCCACGGGGACAGCACCGAAGCAATCATGACAATCACCGGCAGCGACAAAATGTATACGGTGAAGAGGAGGCCCATCTACGGTCGACCCCATGAGCCCCTGGCAACATTCGAATTTTGTTGGACGAATATGACGTCGCACCTGGAGGAAGAACACTCGCTTGAGTGGGTCGTCTTCCTTGGCGCGGGTGGCCGTCAAGTGCTGTAGAAACCAGGCATACACCATGATTTGCAGCGAGCAAATGGCGAGCCCCGGCACCGAGTCGTACATGTACAAGGTCGAGGCCGGGTCGGTGTAACCCAAATACCACACGGCCAAGCTCAAGTACAAGACGCAGTACAGGAGCATGACGACGGTGAGCCACGTGCGGCCGTGGAGTGCAATTGCATTGATCGTCCATCCTTTTGCAATGAGCATGGCGAGGAGGAGCATCCCGACGCGCCCCATGGCTTGGAAGATGCGGGCGAGGCAGAGGGGAAGTGGCGCGCCGACGCCGTTTAGTTCAAACGCGTAAAAGTGCAGCGCCAAGCAGGCGTTCGACACAAACGAGAGCACGACGAGGCCGGTGAGGAGCTGCACAATCGGGTGAAACGATTCGTGCGTGAGGCGGAGTTTGGCGGCCGATTTGAGTTGCGTGAGCAAGAGCAGCCCCGAAAGCCCGCCAAAGACAGTGTACACGGCCGTCAGTCCTTCTTGGAACACGGGAACTTCGCTCCGCGTGGCGGACTGAATCATGTGGATCGAGTACCACGCAGTGAAATAGTAGTGCTCAAAGTTCGCCGGCGTCAGCGACGCGAGCGTCGGGACGTAGGCGTCTCCGCCTGGGACACACTTGGCCAGCGCAACGTACCAAAACCGGGGCCGAAGGTGCTCGCGGATCGTGTAGTTGAGCACAAACGTGTGCGACGCGTCAGATGCGCGAGGAACGTCATACACGGCCTTGGTGTGCTCCGACGCGAGTTTGCAATTGCAATCGCACGTCGGGTCAGTTGAAATGAACGCCCAAAACGCGTCCTCGTCGTCGTAGATGGCCAGCTTGACGCCGTCGTCCGGCGTGCGGATGTGTGCTTGAATTTCCCCGACGACGTTGCTAAAGTTGGCGTCCCACGTAAAACAAAACTTGCCGAGGAAGGAAAACTCGCGCCCGATCTCAAACCCGGCAAACACACTCGCGTTGACGGAAGTGGCCACCACCAACAGCGCTACGAGTAGCAACTGGATCGATGGCAACCCTCGAGCGCGGCGAGCGTCCATGCCTGCCGATGCAAAATGAAAGTGCACGTGAACTGCCCTGGTCAGCCATTGTCGTTCGAATATGGAATTGACAGGTATAAAACGCCCGAAGTCGACAGGGGTGGAAAGAGAACATCCAACGGCACGAGGCAGCAGTGGAGACTTTCCCGCAGCATGGCCATCGTCCAAGAGCATCACTTATATACGTATCGCGCAGGCACATAGGAACTCTGCGGGACGACGCGGCTGTATCAAGTGATATGTGCTGCGTGGTGCTGGGTCTAGCTTGGTCCAACTCATTTGTAATGTGGATGGCGGGCCTGCATTGGCAAGACAGGGTGCATGAGTGGTCCTCATGTGCACACACGCTGCGCTGGATGACCCACACAGACGTCTCGCTATATGCCTCGAGCGTTCCATCAGCCTAGTGGCCATGTGGTCGAGCCGCCATGGCTTCCGTACACTCGTCTTCTCTGGCGACTTAAAATGAAACGTCAAATTTATCCGGATAGCCAACACCATAATAATTTCAAATGATATTTGTCACGCCGCTCCTTCGACTATCCGGATACACAACAAAGTAGAGGAAACTTGGAGCATTTTGCCGTCTCCGATGCTGACGAAGGGACTGGTCGAAGTGATGGACGTACACGTTGCCGTCGGCAACAACAATATCGGAGGTGGTGACTTCTCTCGTCTGTCAAGGTGCATCTGACTAAACCATGATGATGCAGGAGATGACGAGCTCCGGATGGCAGCGCGGGCAGGATTGATCTTGCTCGAGAAGAACGCGGCGCTGGAAGTGGACGTTGAGCTGCTGTCAACTGAACTGCATCGATATAAAGTCCAGCATCGAGAACTTCAAATGGAGGTGCAGACGTTGCGCGATCAAAGGAAGACGGCGGTGTTGGAAGTCCAAGCCGCGCATAAGGAGGCGAAGGCGCTCCAAGCGTCGTTTCGCACGGAGCGGGCGACGTGGCACAGCACCGAACAAGCTCTGACGCAGCAACTTCGATCGCTTACGTCCGAATTGCAACTTGCAAGACAGCAAACTCAGGAAGTCATTCACCCCACTGCACACGTGGCATCCATCGAGTCCAGCAACTTTGACGATCACAACTTGACGACGAGTTTGACCGAGGAAGAGCCAGCGACAGTGGAAGACCCCCGCGTCGCACTCCTCCAAGCTGAAAACGACGACTTGCACGTGCAGGTGAGCCAAGTGCTCCAGGAGCTGAGCCAGCTCCAAGTGTCGTGGTCCCAATCAACCTACGCATCAAACCAGCGCATTCAGTCTCTCGAGCACGAACTCCACAAACTCACGCGCGAGAACAAGCTTCTCAAGGAGGAGCAAGCGGAGGAGCGCGATCTCATCGACAGTCTCCGCACCATGGTGCAGACGTACAAGGTATGCCGACTATCGCTGCCATCATCAGCGAAGGGGGGCATGTGCCATGTGGATTTTCGTGGACATGCTGTCGATTTTGTCCCACCAAAATTTTGCCTGCGTGAGATTGCATGAATTTTTGTCAAATTTGTTGATTTTTTTTAAATTATTCGATCAGAATGATACAAATTTGAAATGTCGACTAGAAAATCGCCGACGCTAGGCCGTTTGGCGCAGCGGCATCGACCGTGGGCGACGACAGCAACCAAGATACCCATGATGAGGATCGCACGAGCCTCAGCACGTGTTCAAACGAGACACACGACCTAGAAACGTCGATGCACGAAGACGTGATGGCGTTGAACTCAGCGCTGGAACGGCGTGTTCGTGAACTGGAAGCACAAGTGGCCCAGACCACGTCGGACGATGCCAAGCTCTTGGAGGAACAGTTGAACGGGACAAAGGAAGCACTAAAGCATACAAAACAGCAGTGGATTGCGGCAGTGACGGCGAAGAAGGAAGCGCAAGCATGCACGGCAGCAGCCCACGAAGAACTCGCTCGAATGCAGGAAGCGTTCCAGAACGTGCAAGAAAAACTTCAATCGTCGGGAACGAAACCCGACGACGAGTATGTGGACTGGATGGAGGACAGTGTTGTGCACCCTGCCCCTCCAGGTTGGATTGCCGCCGTGTCGCTGTGGATGCTAATGATGTCCTGGCTTTGGGTGGCTTCTTGCGCACAGGCGACCTCGATTCCCCTCTGATCGGGTGCCTATTGCAACACTGGACGAGCGACAAGGAGCTATGGGGCGATTTGTTCCGGTGGCTGCAAGGCACAATCCATGGCCACCCCACGCACCACAGCGTGCGCATGGATCGTTTGTCGAGTGAAGTGAGCGCCGGGTTTGTTCAGCTTTTGGTTCCAGTGCTGCGAGAAGTGCATGGTGTGCATGTGAAGGTGATGCGTCGGACGTCGGTCCATGTTCTCACGGATCTGGTGCTCTCCGTGGCAACCGAGTCGTTGGTTGGTTCGTCCATACGTCTGGAGTCGGTGGCGCCGTCGTCGCCGGGCGTGTTGTACCTTGTTTCGTAGTTCACCAATTTTAGATACCAAGTTTTGAGTTTGTCGGTGCGAGTATTTTAATTCAGTTGTTACTCATAATATAGCGTTCTGTATGTAATATAATCATGCGAAGAAAATGACAACACCCAGCACGACATTCTGCATTTGGACAGCATCCACACACCCACCACACGATGACGATGCGGTTCCAGATAAAGATGGTCCTCGTCTTTTCCCTGCTTGTTGTCGCGGCGTGGGCAGAAGATCTATATGAGATCCTTGGCGCTAGCTCCGGTGCTTCACCCCAGGATCTCAAGCGCATGTACGGCATCCCATGCATCATTGTGCCGCGTTGTGACGTTGTTGTCCAGCTACCGCAAGTTGTCGCTCAAGTATCATCCTGACAAGGTTGCGCCGGAGGAACGGGATTCGGCGCAAGCCAAGTTCTTGAAGATTGCCAATGGTGAGTTGGAGCCGCGACAGTTGATCTCGGACACACTCCGTTGCGCAACCTTGTAGCGTACCGTGTGTTGTCGGACCCGGCGCGCAGGGAAAAGTATGACCTCTACGGCATCGCTGACGACGAGGGCTTCAAGTACGATCCGTGCCGAACAAGGGGCGAATGCCGAGCTAATGCGCGTTTAGGAACTTTGACGAAGCCTTCAGGCATGCTCGGGACAGCGTCGAGGATACCCCGTTGAATTGGCTCATCTTGATCTTCATCGTGGTCGTCAGCGTCGGCCCCATCCTCTATTTTAGATTCAAAACCAAGCCAAAGGCCGTCAACAACGCCCGCCGCGAGGTACAGAAGTCGGCCGCTGCATTGAGAAGGACGCATCGCTGACATTATGCACACCGTAGGCTCTGGCGGCAAAGAAGAAGTCATTAAAAGACAACTAGACGTGCCAGTGGACATGGCTGTATGTCTCTATAGACTTGTTTCCGTTCGAATCGCTGTCGATCATGCAATTTACGCCGCGTGGGGCACTAGATGTAACATAATGGCCTAGTCGACTTTTTGATGGAGAGTAGTTTGGTCAGCTCTGGAGGGCAGTGATTGGCACAAACACATGGGTTCGCACGAATCGACCATGATCTCGTTGCCGACGCGCTACCGCTGCTGCCTTCAATGTTGTGGGATGTGGCGCCATGGACGAAGAAGGAGCATGGTGTGTCGTAGCACCTTGCGTCGCTTGACGACGTTTCTTCTTCCACCGCTCAACACGCTGCTCTCTCGACAGTTCGGCACGACATGACTTGAAGCACGGAGATGTATCCCGCAGACGAGGGATGCGACTATCGATCGTCGTTGGGACCGATCGCATGGGTACACCTGATCGAGTGTTTGGTTTGGGGATGGCTGGAGTTGCTTGGGGAACCCACCACACCCCTGGAGTGGACGGAGTGATGAAACTAACTTCATGCTGACGAAATGGATGTTGGGCAGTAGTGGGCGATTCATTGCGGTGAATTTCTGCCGCGGCGCCCAAAAGGCTCAACGCGCACAACGTGTCCTCTCGCTCGACCGAAGCGTTGGGACAGTGCTGCAATATCCGCGAGAGCGATGGCAACAGGCTCAGGGTAGATTCCACGGCTTCCACTCGGGAGCGCTTGAGACCAGGAAGGGTCTCTCGATGCGACGGAGGCGTCATCTGCAGCATGTGGGTCGCCATGGTCTTGGGGAGATGTGGAAAATTGTGTACTGGGGAATCCCAGAAGAAAACAGCACCCTTCGGTAAAGTAATGCGTTCATATTCCGGCTGAACCGCAACAGTGTTCAACTTTTCCTCAAAAGTATAGAAAAAAAGTCCCCTACGGCCACTTTTGATACATACATAGCACTGCATCGCCACGAAAGGACACCGTCCGACAAGACGAGAGATCTCACAACTCCATCACAGCACTGAATTGCACTCTGTACGCACAGATTTGCTCGCCATTCTGCGTCATCTCGACAAGCTAAGCGCCAATATGGACGAGCGTTTTTTCCAGGAGACCACAATTCGCTAAAGTACTTGAGTGACCTCGCTCATCCAAGAACGATCCAAGAACGTTCGGACGTGCATGAACACACAGTGACGCCTGCGCAGCCGCCACACGCGACACCCGACGAGGACCGCACACAAGCTAGACCTTTCTCTTCCCTTCTCCAGGCGCTGGAAGAAGCACCGAGTCGAGCTTGGCACGTACAGGACATCAAGCGCTTACTGAGCGGTCCGAGCACGATGCGCGCGCGGTCGCTGGCGTTGAGGGCCTTGTAGACACCGTCATGACAGAGCAAACCGATTTATCCTCTGGCTGAGTCGTCAGTCACTCTCCACTATTCTCTTGCACAGTCCACCTGCACCGTCCAAGCGAGGCGATCGTCCGAGCCATGCTGGCACATCTATTTTTCATGCAAGGTGCATTGTTTACACGCACAACATCACACGCCTTAGACGACGAGGGGCGCGGTTTTGGCCTTGAGTAACTTGGTCGCAAGCTCCATCGTCTTGAACTCGTTGCACTGGGCCATGCCGATAAAGGACCGCATAAAGTACTCGGACATGACGCCAACGTCTGTCTGGGTGCAAGTTGACCCGGCCACGGCATTGTCATCTTTGATCACGACGGCGGTCGACCCGCAACGTCCGGCTTGTCCCTTCTCGGCAGCGTTCATTTCGTCTGCGTAGCTCGACGGAATGTGCAACGACTTCATCATTTCATCTAGCGCGACCACTTTGCCTGCGCGCATCGGAGCGAGCCGCTCCACGTACGATTTGACGTGACATGAGTTGTCGCCATCGGCTTCAACGACCATCCTATCTCTCAACATCACAGCTGTCGTGCCCCATCTCCTCGGCACGCACCATCCGTTCTGGTTTGAGACCAAGTGCGTCGGGTCCCGTGGGTACAGCTCGTCTTCGAGGACGCTCTTCCACAAAATGACGACCCGATTTGGCTCAATGTACCGCCGACACAGCGGCGAACAGATAATGGTGGCGCGACTCTTGCCGAAAAACGGACACCCCGCTTCACCTGATTTGCACACTTTGCGAGAAATATACCGCGTGTTCGAGTCGATCACCTCGATCGCCTACAAGCACACCAGTGATTCACAAAAGATCCCGTTATGATATCGACACACGGCGGCGTCCATATCGGTCAATCCGAGTCGAAGCGAGAGCCACATCAAAGGGGAAAACAACGCTCGCACAATCAAAGCACGACACACACCACGGACAATTCAAAACACTGAGCAGAGAGGGCCACCAAGACGACCCATGTGCACATGATTCGTTCGTTGCTTGTTGATGCAGCAAAGAAAACGCAAGGCGCATGGAGCCATCGAAACACCAACGATGACAGGTACCCATTGCAAGTAGAGCAAAACACACAGCATCTACTATCCAAAAGCGAGGCAAATTCGTTGGGAAGGTCAATGGGGCACGACACCAAACACACTTGGTCAGCACTCCAATCCACACCACGAAGGCACACGCACCAACGGCTAACAATTTGGTCAAGCACAGCACCTCACTATCGGGAGTGTTGTCCATGTCGACGGACGCGAGAAAGCGCCACGATGCCTCGGCGTAGATGAGGTACGGAAATGGCATTTTGACCGCACGTGCCATGTCGAAGCTCATGGCGTTCGAGTGGTGGCTCTGATAACTCATTTTGACTTGCTTGATTTCGTGGGTGGCGTCGTATAGCGCGTTGCGGACAAGCACGCCATTGAGCGCTTCGTAGTGGCGTTCCATGATGCACCGAATCGAGTGCTCGCGGCTTTCCTTGGTCAAACCGAGCTTACTGAGCTTCCACTCTTCGTTTTCAAACTCGGACGACGACGCTAGTTTCGGTTTCTTTCGAACAAGTGTCTCCAGCGCTTGGGCGAATTTGAGCTGGTCCTCAAGCGCACGTTTGAGCTTGGCGTTCTCCTGGTACGCGCGCTGTCGCTCCAAGTACTGAGCGCGCGCCAATTGTTCCCACTGAGAACCGTGCTCTCCTTCTACTGCCTTGACTTTCTTTAGCATGTCCAACTGCGATTCCATACGTGTGACCACTTCCCTGAGCAACTTGAGTTCGTCCTTTTGTCGCGTTCGGTGCTTCTTTGACGCTTTTGCGAGCTGCATTTTGCGCTTGAGTTCCTGTGGAATAACGATGGTTGGTTTCGACGTGCTTTCGTTGAAATCGACGGAGGACGTGTCGTCGGTGGCCGAGTTCTCGGTCGCATCGTCGTCGTCGTCCCCCAACGCAACATCATCGTCCAAGAGCCCATCTAAGTCAATCTGAATCACCGTCGGCGACGGCTGCACATCCAACGGGCCAGCGTCGATGAGGAACTGCAGCAGCGCGTCTTCTTCCACAGCGTTCATCGTGGTGCTTGTTCCTGTATCGTCTTTGCTCGCTTCCAAGCGTCAAAAAGTAAAACGCGTTTTCTCCAGGACGTTTTAGCGTATGTTAAGGCATGACATCTTCGTTTACCCTAGACGTCAAACTATTTAACACAGCTACGTTGATTGGTCAAAACACAATGTATATTTTCTACGACGACGTTGACAAAATAGGAGGCGGGGCGTATGCGTACAATTGAAGGAAGATGTACATCGCAGGGACACATGCACTTGGAAACGCATTTAGTTAGGGTGGTTGCTGAGTTTCAAATGTGTATGTGGCGTCGTTCATCGCGTTGTCGTAAATCTTTGGTGGCCCATTCGCGTCGCAGCAACGTTGGCATTGCAGGGTTCAACAGAGATTTCTCGCTCGCATTCGTTCAAAATATTAACCAATGAATGATGAATATTCCAACAGTGTTTGATTTATAACCAATAGATCGCAACTACTGAAACATTGACAAAACATGAAGAATCCATTCAGGTCCTTTCGTCATCGGACGACGGGCTCATGCAATAGTGGACGAATCCCAGCAGAACTTGACCGGCCCGATTCGGTCAACGATGGCGTTGATGGTGCACATGTGTTCGTCGGATAGAGCGACATGCTGGACTGCGTCCCAGTTCTCCTGAATGCGAACTTTGGAGCTTGCCTTGGGAATGACCACCCATCCATGAGCATGGCCCCATGCGAGAAGAACTTGGGCAACAGTAGCGGACACGTCACTCGCGACATGTTGGAGCTCTGGATACGTCGCAACGTCCAGAAGAGACCCTTCGCCCAAACTTGAATAGGCCGCCATGACCATTCCTCGACCGCGGCAATATATCGCCAAGTCTCGCATGAGCGGAGTCCATTGCAGTGGATGAAACTCCACTTGGTTCACATGAATGTCGAAGTGCTCGAGACCAACAAAATGAGCTCTCAAAAAGTTGGAGACACCCACAGCCTTCAATGTTCCTGTGTGGAAAGCTTCCGTCAGCGCCTTCATACTCCCCACGCGATTTGGTTGAAGCAGGGCGCTGTCCGCTCTCTTTCCTTGAGTCCCAGGCCAATGCAGCAACATGAGGTCGATGTAGTCTAGGTTCAGGTTCTGCAGACTCATTTGAATTGCTTCGACGGTCTTTGCGTATCCCATGTGCTTGGGGGATATCTTTGTTGTCACGAACAACTCGGATCGTGTCACAAGCTTGTCGAGGATGGCCTGTTGAATCGCTCGACCCACTGCTTCTTCGTTGCGGTACACCCCCGCTGTGTCAATATGGCGATATCCGACGCATATAGCGTCGTATACCACTCGCTGCGCATCGTCCCCACGCAGCCTGTACGTGCCAATCGCGACCGTCGGGATATCGGCACCAGTCGCCAATTTCAACGCTGATGTCATTTTTTGCAAAATGACACAGTGTCCGGATAAGCTTTCCCTGCCTGTCAGTTTATTTGAAAATTGTTTTCATTTAATATTCCCGTCGACAGCGTTCGTTCCAGTTTTCGCACAAGAACGTTGTACTTTTGGGTACATCATTTCTCAACGAGAGGAAGCGATGTTTTGTCGAATTTCCCACGTGGATGAAAAATTTATCGAGAGGTACTAAATATAAAAATGCCTCTGGCACGTTTTCCGACAGGGGTGAGCAATGCAACATGATTCCAATTTGCACTAGTATTTCTGTTGTATCAAGAAGTGACAAAATGACATTGAGCTAACGTCGCCTGTGCAAAAATCGGTCCGGATATTTCCAGATAATTCATTCACTTTCAATACATCAAACTATTTACTTTGGAGTTGTTCAAATCAATTTGTTCAGTCTCATGTGGCCCGTTGGTATGTGATACGCACGCTCATGCGCTATGTGTCAGATCCGTTCGATTATGAGGCGAGCTAAGCTAAACCGATCGGTGCGATGAAGGGTATACCTGCCGACAAATGACGACGGCATTCCTTCGCCTCCGACATCGCTGGTTCCATTTCAAATGAGTCCATCTCGAGAAGATGCTGGTCGACTTGAATCATTTCTAATGCTTTTTGAAATTGCATTTTAAATTGCAACGGCTGTCCGGATACCAGACAACTTGCAATTCCATGAAATTGATTCAGAAGCTGCTGGACAAGCACGGCATCGAGCGTGTGGTGCAGACGGTGGTGGACGCAAGGAGGAATCCACCCCGGCCGATCCGCGTCGTCGGCCTCGACATCAACACGAATAGCACTGGTTTTGTCGTATTGAACGAACGAGGTTCGTACACTGTCCGTCGCACTGTTGGCATGACAAGGTTGTCGATGCAGGTGGTGTCGAGACGAGTGGACATATATGTACAAAGCATCTTCAAAGCGATGGTCAGATTCTCGACATTGGCGTTGCAATCGCTTCTCAAATCACAGAGCTGCGCAACGAGGTAACGTCGACGACTTCCGTTGCGTGGGAAGTTGGCATCGAGGACTTTCTCCGGACGTTCTCACCGGGTCAGTTTAAGACGAAGGGACTGTTCCAGCTCGCACAACTAAATGGACTCGTATCGTACTGCGCACTCACGACATTTGGCGTGGCGCCGGCTCATGTCCATCCCACCGCGGCACGACACTTTTTCTCACTCAAGGTGCCTGCGGGAGTCGCCAAGAAGAAGGACGAGATCAAGCGGGTCGCGCTGGCCCATGCGATCGCAACCGAACCTGCGCTTCACCTGCCACACATGCCAGTATCTGCTCAATACGATGTCGCCGATGCGTACGTTGTTGCGTCGTACTCATACTGGCGCCGCGTGATCGAGAACTCGATTGCAGCAACTCCAACCGAGTTGAGAGTGGCGCTATGGCGTGACATGGAGAACCAGTTGACGAAACAGATCGCGTCGAACACTGCGAAAATGAAAAAATTTTCCAAGCCAGAGTACTTGGAAGCAGTTTTTCGCCAAGAAATCGACGTGTGGGTGAAAACCCACCGACTGATCCTTTAACCGCTTGCCCGTTAACTGCAGAATACACCATCCGTGCGCTCTTGTCGACGTTCGACGCGGGGATCGACGGTATGTCAGAGGCCTTCGGCGCATTACTCGTTCGAGCTACCACTGGGACCTTTGCGTCCAAGCAAAGTGGAGTCGCCGACGAGACTGTCCAAAGCACGGGAAAAGGGCCTCTCTCCGAATGGAAGACGCTCTGCATGCCCCTCCAGCTGCACAGAGGGATGGATTGCAAGTGTTTGGGACCTACACGCGTAGAGCACGGTGTCGAAGCAACGCGAGCTGCGACACCACATCCACGACGAAGTTCACGTCCTCCTATTGTACTTTGCGTGGACAAAGCAAGCCTACGACGGCCTTCGACCGTCGTCCCTGCCGAGCCACGTGTGCCTCTGTTTCGAGAATAACTAACTCAGGTGACAAATGGATGGTTGCCGTGCACTCGTCATTTCATGTGGCTGGCTATTCATGCTGCGTCATCGGGTTCCTACTCGTGGAGGGATACAGATCGGGGTTGGCCAGCATGAAATCCTTCTTGTACGTGAGTTTCCGGACCGCGACGTCGATCGCTTTTTCAAACGCGACTTCGACGTTCCGAAACGAGTTGACGATAAAGTCCGTAACGTATTCGGTCGTCCGCTTCTCGAGGCTGATGTTGGGCATGATGAACTGGAACACGTCCGTCAAATGAATGAGTTTTCCTGCTCGCGACGGCGAGTGCCGCTGGACAAACAATTTGAACTTGGACGTTGTCGCGGGGTTCTTGGCGTCCCCTTCGATCACGATCCTACAAGCACGAGCGTGAAACGACAGCCAAACGGGTCGACTATGACGCACCATCCGCTTTGATGCACGCGCATGACGCTTTCGTCGAGGGGGTAGCACTCGTCCTCCAGGATTGACTTCCACACAATGCACACGCGATTGGGTTCAAAGTACCGTCGATACAGATACCGCGCCGAGAGCGGGCCCGACGCGTTTGCGACCCCGTTCCGCGGGGTGTACTTGAGATAAGCTGTATTGGCGTCAACCATGTCGATGATTTCGTAGTCTTCGCCCCACTTGGCCGACGTTTCCTTGCCCAGCGAGACGTTCCAAGCCGCCTCCGCGAGAAATGGATACGGCACCTCCATTGTCACGCACCGGACGGACTCGCTGATCAGCATCTTTGTGATGTCGGAGCACACGTTGACCTTGTGCAGGTCGTCGTCGGTTGCGTCGAGCAGGCCGCATTGGAGAAAGACACCTACATTGGATAGCAGTAGGTAGAGTTAAAAGACGCCGACACGAATGAGTTTCGAAAACCGCAAGGGTGAAAACTACAGATTTAAAATAGGGAAAAAGTGATTTCAAATGAACAACACGCATCGACCGTGGCGCGTCGAGTTAAAGAAATTCGTCGTCGAGAAGTATATTTCTAGAAAAGCCAACATCTGGAAATATACAACGCGATGAAAACGTCGCTCTCAAATGTCATCATGCACAACCCAATGCGACGCTGGACGCACCTGTGAGAAGCTGCCGCTGCCGTGTGAGCAATGCATTGATGCCATGAAGCCGGGCGGACTTGTCAGCAACGAGCCTTAAAGATTTCCATTCGTCGTTCTCAAAGACCTATGGATTGTGTCAAGAACGCAACGCGGTGTGACAGGGTCCTACCGCAAGACGCGGCTTCTTGGCGAGGAGAGTCTGTAGCGTGTCGATGAATTCGCTCTGTTCGGATACCTTCTTGCGCAGCTTTTCGTTCTCGATAGACGATTCCTGCCGGTGGGACGCGAGGTCGCGTGCAATGTTTTCCCAGCTTGACGCAAACGTGGCATCGATTGCTTTCATCTTCGTAAGAAAGTCCAGTTGATCTTCGAGCTGCTGCACTTGTGCCTTGAGTTCCAAGTGTTCGCCCTGGCGCTTTCGAATGTGTTTCTTGTAAGCCTCTCGCTTCGCACGTTTTCGAGCGGTCTCCCGGTCAACTTCCTCTCCTCCACCACCCGCATCGCTGTCGCTTGACGACGACGCGGCCGATCCTCGTTTAGTTCCCGCCGCCCGAGGTGGCAGGGTCGCCACTGATGAGTTGTTTTTTCCGTCCAACGACAATGTGGTTGAGCGCAACCCATCCGGCATGACGTCCAGTGACACGACGTCCTTTGGGTCTTCCGTCATGAAGAACGAGTGATCGATCGCCGAAACGTCATCCAGCAAGAGCGCGTCCACGAACGACATGTTGTCACCGGCGACGAAGTTGCAGTTTGGAAACCAAGCGAATGCGGATAAATCATCCGGATATCATGCTCATCCGGACATTCTGGAACTCGCCAATTTGGCGGGTATTCAATGGTCCGACCAGTCGGCCCATTGAATTACCAGGATAATATTGAAGCAATCCGTGTCGTCAGTACCGCACGCCAAGTTGCCCACGCGACCAGCGCCGAGCCCTGACAAGGCATGGTCGGGGCCAAGGGCACTGAAGGCTTGCGCGAAAGCCACGGGACGGCTGGAGGTTTAGTGCACCATGCAATGGATTTGTGCCAGGGGCATGCACAATCAAATGGCATCGACACACAATACGCACGGCGACAAGCGCCATCATATCATGCATGCAATTGATTGCAAAGAAACGATGCCTTGAATTCTACTCACATAGAAATCGGTGTATATAAGATCTGGCAATGTCGTTATGAATTTGCGGTCGTCTCGAAAATGGGAATCATGACGACACTAGTTGACCTTTGATTTTGTATGCATCCGCCTCCGCTCGCCCGCAATTACCACCCCAACACATCCCGGTTTTGCTGGCCACTGGACGCAGTTTCGCGACCATTGTACACTGTCGCGGGTGGCCTTCGTTAAACCTACCACCCAGGCACAAGTCGCCGAGGCGAAACACTCTGCCAAAAAGCTCCTTTCGGCGCTTTCGGATTTTGAATGGAGTCAAAACTTCAAGATGTGGTCAAGTTGAACGTATCACGAATGTCTCAGGGGACTGTACCCAGTTGCAAGAGTATAGGCCATACACAAAATACCGGATAAGGGGTTGCATCCGGATACCCCTCGACACATCGCTCTTTAGCCGTGTGAATGTCGTCGCGCAAATCATCCATGTCACATGCGCAACGAGGCACGTTGAGTTTACTTCCATCTCATGAGGAGTCGATGGTCAAAGTATCCTTCTTACCGAGAATGCCGAGCCTTGTCAGTTCTCCGTGGTGGCGGTTTCTATCAAGAACTACTAGTAGTATAGAAGTTTGTTGCCAGCACCCTCGCCAGTGACGGGACGGTTCTGTGGGGATTGTCTCCTATCACACCCCCACGTTACTTAGTCGTATTGCTCGAGATCGAAATGAATTCACCTCGAGCTCATACTTAATTGCACAGTAATTTGTTGCAAGTCATCTAAAGACCGAAAAAGTATGCCAAGTACTGAGACAAACAATGTATCGTTGAAACACTACGTAGTAACACAATTTGAATGTTTTACCTATTTGCATGTGGTGAACGTCGGTGCAACGTCGATGTTGTAAGGTTTAACTGATATGACCACAACGTTTAAGAATAAAACGATTACCCTTCATTGCGACAGGCAGTAAACTATTTTTGTCCGAAAAGCACTAGCTATTTCAACATAGCTGCCGGACCCACTTGTATTCCAGAGCTCCTTCAAATAAAATGAGTTACTTTCATTCTTCTTACAAGTCGTAAATTGTTTTAATCTGGACATTTCTACTTTCTTCATGTTGTATACACAAACGAAATATCGGTTGGACGTTATCTTGATTTCCTCTAAATATTCTTAACCAGTCAAAACAAAGTTTTCCATGATGTTGAGAAAAATCGAGTGAGGTTGGTCGATTTAGAGAATTCGTACCATCAATATTCGACGCCGAGAGCACTCGGGTTCCTTATAGCGTGAAGCCTTTTTCAAAAATCGATTGAGCTGCTTCACACGAGCATATGATCCAGATAACGTTATTTGGGATTTCGGGAAAATATACCTTGCCAGAAACGCGTATCCGGATATCCAAATGTGTATGAAACGGTTGGATTCTACATAGGAGCTCCTGCGTCGAGGGAATGTACCTCATACGTGCACAACTGTATTAAATGTCAGTATAAAGCGTACGTTTCGATACGTGAGTACGGATGTGAAAGTTGCACAAATTCTTGTTGCATTTTCAGAACCAAGCAAGCGATCCCTCAACGAGGATGGGGGCGATGGATGGTGGCGTCGAGACCAACGTGACGGTGGACGTTGAGCCTTCGCTCACGATCAAGACTTCCGTGAGCATCTACTTCACGATCTTCGCGGTTGCATGGATCGTATTCCTGTACTTGCAAAAGCGCAAGCCGAGCATCTATGCTTGTCGCAACGAAAGCACCGAAACGGCGTCCGTCGCGGTGGACTCGGGGACCATGTTTGGATGGATCAAGTCGACTTGGACAGTGAGTGATGACGTTTTGTTTGAGTTTTGCGGCCTCGACACACTCGTCTTTTTGCGCGTACTCGCTCTTGGACGCAAACTCGCATTGTGTGGGATTGGTTTGAGTGCAGCGCTCTTCCCGCTTTACGCCACGGGAACGAATCCGGATGAAGAAGCGGGCCGACGAAAGGATATTGACCCTCTGGAACGTATTACCATGTCGAACTTGAGCAACGGCGAGCCGCGGCTGTGGGCGTCCGTGGTTGCCATGTACTTGATGAGTTTCTATGCCATGTACTTGTTTCGCGCCGAGTATCAGTACTATGTGAAGCGCCGGCACGAATTCCTCAGCCGCGATGACCTACAACAGTACACTGTGCGTCCATCCCTTCCCGGCATTCTTCGACCTCACGGCGTTGTAGGTGCTCATCAATGACTTACCCCTGAGCTTGCGCACACCCCACACACTCAAGTACTACATGGATTACTTGTTTCCTCAAGACGTGCAGGGTGTCACCGTCGCGATTGAGTGTGCGGACCTGGAAAAATCTGTCGCGAAGCGCGAAAAAACGCGCAATTCGCTGGAGCATGCGATGGCCGTGTCGGCGCAGACTGGCACGCGCCCAACGTACCGCCCCAAGAAGGAACTGCAAAAAGAATACGACGCGATTGATTATTTCACGGAAAAACTCGCGAAATTAAACAAAAAGGTATCATGCCGCCACCGGGGTCGGGTGTCAACCTCTCCATCGGCGTGCCTAGGTCATGGACAAGAACGACTACCTCATCAAGAAGCAGCAAGAATTGGAAGCCGAGTGCGTTGCCACGGGCGTCGAAGCGGCAGCGTTCGCATCCGCGGCGACCGTCGGCGTTGCGATGGGCGGCGTGGTGGGGCTCCCGGACGACTTGCATCGCCATATTAAAAATGGTATACGATCGCATGTGAGGAATCGGCGTGGCGGTGACCGAGATGGATGGCTAGGCATCACCCGCAGCTCGGCTTTTGTCAGCTTCACGTCGCTTCAAACGGCGCAAACGGCACAGCAAATCTTGCAGACGGAGAACCCAATGGAAATGGAAATCGTCGCGGCGCCGCAGCCCGACGACATTGTGTGGGAGAACATTGGTCGGTCCAAACAAGAAAAGGACTCGTGGCGCTTGATTTCCACGGTACGAACACGTCCGCGATACAATTGTGTGGTTGGTGGGCGTTTCGAATCGAGTTGTCGAGTCCCGCGTTGCCGAACTGGTCTGTGTGGAAGGCGGCGATGTTGTCGATGTCTAGCTGCATGGACCTGCTTTGATGCGCCCTCACTAAACCTGTTTGGTCTAGGCCATTTCGACGGCGGTGATTTTGTTTTGGACGATTCCGACCGCGGCGGTCGTGGCGTTTTCGACGGTCGACAACCTCCAAGTAAAGCTGAATTTGACCCAGTTCTTCCAAGACTACCCGTGGATGATTCAAGTATTCAAGCAAATCAGTCCGTTGGGGCTCGCTATCATGACGGCGCTCGCGCCCATGATCATGACGTACCTGAGCAAGCGCGAAGGCCACCCGAGTGGCGCCCAGGTCAAGGGGTCGACCTTTGCCAAGCTCATTTACTTTCAAACGTTTCAGATTTTCTTCGTGTCGGTGATCGCCGGGTCCCTCATTGAGTCGTTGGCGAAAGTCCTAGACCAACCGCAGCTCCTCATCAAGATGCTTGGGTCGTCGATTCCGGCTCAAGCGACCATGTTTATGACGTACCTCATCGTGAAGATTGGCGTCGACCTAGACTTGGAACTCCTCCGCGTGATGCCGCAGATTCTCGGCCTCGTGTACAAACTGTTTGCCCCGAAAGTGACGGCCCGCGAGCGCCGGTCCCCGTGGTTTGGGCTGCAACCAGCGACCATCCCTGGCGATTTCGACACGGGCGGCGCGCTGCCCGATTATTTCTTGGCGCTGCTGCTCGTCGTAACCTTTTGTGCGATCGCGCCACTGCTCAACTACTTTGCGTTGATGTACTTTGTCGTGGCCGAGCTCGTGTTTCGTCGCCAAGTGCTATACGTGTACGACCCGTCGCCGCACTCGACCGGCGTGTACTGGCCCCAGCTCCACACATTTCTCGTGGGCGCGCTGCTTTTGGCCCAAGTCACGTTTCTCGGCATGATCTCGCTCAAGGTTGCCCCTGGCCCGATCGTGGCCGCCACAGTCCTGCCGTTCCTGTCGGCCGTGTACTACTTGTACATTGAAGGAGTATTCCCCCGGTCGGCCAAAAACCTTCCGCTCTTTTCGTGCGCGCGCTTGGACAAGCAGCGAGCGTCGCAAGAGTTTTCAAACCTGTCGAGCGCGTTCATCCAGCCAGCGTTGACTGCCAGTGGCCCGATCAAGCCCGACTACAGTGAGCTCGCGACGTGCGTCGAGGATCATCCCCAGACCACCCTCGACAACGCGCACGGATCGGCCCAAGGGGGTGACTTGAAGGGGTTCCACATTTAGGCAGCGACCGACCTCTGCTTCATGTGTCGACGTGTGTGCGTTTCCCACTGCAAACGGCGTCTCGGACGATGTAGGTAGATTGTGAAACATAATGGCATGACTCGCCTCAAGACATGGATGCCTCTGGGGGCTTGTGGCACTCGTTTGGCACGTCCTCGTGAAGCAGCAGCACTGCACCTGCAGTGTCCATGGCCTCGCCGCATGTCCTGGACGCCGAGTCCAGCAACCCGTCTACCCGCCTCGAGGAATTCGCACCAGCCCGGACATGCCCGAGAGCGGCCCCTTCCATGGATAGGAACGAAGCACTGATGGACACCGCGACGTCATTCAGCGACTCAGATGGCGCGACTGGCTCGGCGACCCGAGCTTAGTTGTTGTGGCGCGCGCGTACAGAGTCTCGTCAGGCTGCCGTGTGACTTACAACAACTCATCGTTGGAAGTGCGACATTTCATGATTTTTTTGAACAAAAAATGGAAAAGAAGTAAAAGATTTTCTAAGAGTCCTTGTCCGCGGGTGGTACACTCTTGCGCCGGCCGGGGGGGAGGTCGACTTGATCGTTGTGCCCACCACGAAGCAGGACGCTGCCAGTTGGCAGAGGAAGGTGGAGCACACTGCGCATGAGCACGGATGCCTGCTGCATGCGTTGTGTACGCGAGATGCGGTCGCGCGAGCGTTGAAGACATTTCTGCCAACAGCATGCCAAGGTTGATGGTATGGTGGCATACCACCTCGTACGATTCGATGCGACGGTCGCACGATTTCAAACCAAGCAAGGAGTTTCGACGCCACGATGTGCGCGCGCAGCGAGCATAACATGTCGGGAATACGCATCCAAATGTTGGCATGGTCATGGCTACCACGGTGTTGTGTGGCGAAGTTGCGGCGACGTGGGTGGCACGAGCCAGATGATCCCCCATGCCGGTGCCTGGACACTCCCCAACGAAAGAACTGCTCTCCCGTCCGGCAGGCACGTGCTGTGGCCCTTGCTAGCCAACTGTACGATACATGCGTTGTGCTGCACGCCGCGTTGGACAGGGCGTCGTACGATTCGACACGGTCGAACGAGTTTGTCACCCAGTTCGCCAGCAACGGGAACGCGTCCCCGGCTGACGCGGAGTCCGTCGCGGAGGCAAGACGTGTGAATGCAGCCGAGAATCGGTGCGAACATGAAGTGGGTGGGTGTCCCCGCTCCGGGCGGAGTTTGTAATGTATAAAATTAATTATATGTATTGTAGTAGGTTCATTCGAATTGCCGCGGCTGGTGTGCGAGCCACGGGCGCACCATCGATTCCAAGCAGTCGTTCCTGTTTGTCGTGGCGCCGTTGTCACTCGGCAACGGCCCAGAGCTCGGCGCGGCGAGGATGCCTCTACTCGCCGTGGTCACCGGTTGGGACGTGGCACGGACATGCCGCGGGGCTTGTTCACGGTGGGCGCACCGAAACAAGGAACCGATGTGGTGGCACCCACAGTGGCAGGTGGCGTCGCCACATGGTACATCCGGCAGACCAAGATAAGTTGTCTTGACAGGGGGGTGCGGCATGGAGTTGCCACGTTTGCCATGGCCACGGCATTCTTGAACTTGCGCTCAACTTGCATGTCGTCGCTGTGTACGTTCAACGGGTGCAGCGTCCCGGCCATGCCCGCCTCGTCCAAGTGCACCACGCACAAGCACCGCCAGCAGTGTAGCGTCGACGCGTGCACGAACCAAGTGTACGCTCGCCACTTGTGCGTACGCCACGGAGGCAAGCGCCTGTGCTCGTATGCCGGGTGCACGAGCAACGCTCGAAATGGCTCTCGATGCTGCAAGCACGGTGCGGCCTCCATCAAACAAACGTGCTGTGTGGACGGATGCACCAAGATTGCGCACGCCCGACGACTCTGTGTGTCCCATGGAGGTGGCCGACGGTGCATCGTTGACGGGTGCCAAACCCACGCCAGACGGCGAGGGTTCTGCATGCGCCATGCTCCACATGCAGTCTCCCCCACGCCCTCCCGGCCAAAGGATTTCGATCCATTCGATCCAGTCCATCACGTCAAACCGACGGAAATCGAAATTGCCGCCGCCTGCGATGCGTTCATGGAAGAGTTTGACCTGGCCCTACTCGACGGGTGTGCCTTCGACTTGGACGCGTACCTCATGCTGGACACGGTCTCGCCTGCCACGTTTCCGTAGCCGATTTCGTTTAAACTTATTTATACAAGCCTTCGATTGTGTGCAGAGCTTGGCCATTCGAGCGCCGAGGATATCCATGGCACAGGCGCAACCGTTCCGCTGTCTCTGAGACCACCAGTCGATGGGGTTGGCGCATCGAGATGAGAATGGCACTTCGCCACGAATGGCCACCATGTCACGAGTCGTTGCTACATGCAGTGGAAACGTCGAGATGTCCACCGACAATGCAGACGACTTTGGAGCCAAGAAGGCCATTCCATGCAACACGAGCGTGCATTTGGTACGCCGAACTGGCATGGCAACGTCTGCGGCGGCTTGTTCCTGTCGGCAACGAAACCCTGTCCATCCATCCCAGTATCGAGCGTGATTCATATGTGAGCAACTGACGGGCACACGACCGACCTCTGTAACATTTCGTCGTCCGTACGTAGCTCTGTGATCTTGTCGATGAAGTTGGAGGGACAGGAAGCAGACGGAGGCACGAATGGGATGGAGGTTGAAAGACGAGGAAGGAACTAGCGGCAGGTGGGAGAAGCCCATTCGCCAGGAAAGGCCAACTGGGCATAATGCGAGCACGACATGACAACAATGTGACGTCGCTCTTTACTGCAACTGACTTGTTGCCTGACGAAAACGACTGTAGAAGGCACAAAAACACCTCCTTCCGTTGCAAGACCATTATGAGGGACAGGGCAGTGCTGAAGTTCTCGACAGAACCGGGTGGTCTGACGGACGACACAGCGTACTCCGCGTCATATTTCGCACTGCATCCGAGCGCGTTCCCACGATTCAACTTGCCAAGCCTGACGAATGACTGCCAGTCTCGCCATCGTCCTTCGACACGCCATCGCGCCATCCAGAGATACACGTCGCGATCTTTTACTTCCGCAACGCCGTGGCTTTCGAAGTGGCTCATCCGCGCTGGCCCAAAACGCGACGACGACATTGTTGACAAATCACAACGTGCGGTTCTCGCAATCGGTTTCACTTTGTAACGGTTTCATGAAACCGCTCCTCGTCCAACCGCCGCCAAACCACGCACCCACGCTCGTGTTTTGAACAGCACTCAAGGCAAAATGCTGTCGGCCGCACAGGGAACCGTCCATGCGGCCAAGGGTCCTCCTCTCACAGCGGGAGGTATGCACGTATAAGAAGCGTTGTTTTGTCGCGATCACTGACACTTCTTTGGCTTGTCCACTCAGGTGTTATCCCCGCATCGTGTGGCCATGCGACGTGTGCATCGGGTCTGCCGTGCAAAGTAGGAAAGAAATCGCTGTGTAACGTTGAGGGATGCTCGCGATTTGCCCAGTCGAAAGGCAAGTGCGTCAGCCATGGCGGGTTCCGGACGTGCAGCCAAGCCCGGTGTTCATCGCATGCACGGCAAGGAGGGTATTGCCAGCGGCATTGGCACGTGTTTCAGGGTGAAGGAGACGCAGGAAGCGAGGCACAGCCCACGCGCGATTGTCCAGTGGCGACACCAACGGACGTGGCGACGGTCGAGGGGGCCGTCGATTCTCGACCGCGACGAGTTGAAGTGCCCACGATGGGTCTGGTGGATGACAAAGAAGATCCGCCAGAAGTGACGTTGGCAAAGCAAGAACTTTTCGACATGACCGGTCCCGGCCTTTGGATGTTTGAGATTCAAATATAATGGACGATGGAGCCCGCTCGTTCCAGACATCGACCACCTTCGCCGCCCACTTCCCCAAAGATGAACGACGTTCGCTCTATCCTGGTTTAACTCGTGCCCTTGGACGAGCATGCGTTGAAAGGGTGAACAAATGTGCATGCTGGTAACCATACTTTGCAGCGTCAAAAGAGAATGGTGGCAACCCCCAGGCGACCTTTCACGCCACAGGTTCTAGGCCATAAACTCCTGCGTTGCAGGAGGCGGGGCCAGCGAATTCGTATGTCTTTGGTTAAGTCGCAACTGCAGCGGACCGGGCGGAGACGATAACATGTCGCCATATGCATCGTCGAAACGTCTCGTTTGGAACTTGCAGCTCGACTTGGAACGCCAAAAACGTCTCGTTACCCAAAGCAAATCAACCCCCCCCCACCAAACGATGAAGCAAGGGTATGGGATGCACCTGGGCCACAACTGCTTCCGTTCACTCTGCGCCAACTCCTTCCCTGCTCTGGCGATCTCCCCTTCTCACGTTGACAGAGGGTGGTCTCGACCTTGGCTGATCGGTCCATGACGTTGTGGCGACACAAATCGCGACCGACGCAATCGTCAGGTACCAAACGATCAAGGAAAGAACAGCACATGACGAACCGCGTATCCATCGAACAGACGAGCTGTATCGTCGTCTGCAGGGTGCGAGCATGCATCGTTGCTTTGATCAGATGACTACTCCCGTGAGAACGGGGCGTTCGATATGAGTGCACGTCTCGCTGACAGAGGTAGTACACACAACAGCGACACCGCTCCGTCGGGTCGGCGCGCTGCCAGTGTGCGCATTGCACACACGATCCGCGTCGCCACCGAAGTTGCCAAAGCGCTGAACGACGATTCGACCCTTTGACGTCCGAGATGCCAACATGCACCAGAACGAGGGCGATGCTGCGTGATACAACACAATGGCAAGGGACGCCGTTGCAGACCGTTCATGCGCTGCTAGAACGATGACAGGACTTCCCTACGAACGTATTGTGCCGACACCTCGGCTGGGTCGGCCGAATCCACGTCAAAACCGGCGATGACTTGAGTTCTCGTCTCTGTCAGGAGGTAGACGGTCCGCATCTGTAGCCTTCGTTCTGCTGTCGGTGGCATAGCGTTCGATCGACTTGGCCGGTCGGATTCGAATCGGAGCGCAATATCACGACAGCGGGACGATTTCCACCCGAAGCCAGGGACTTGGCAAATTCGTTTGGAGAAAAGCACGTTCCATGTCCACGAATCCGTCGCAGCAGCACTAGTGAGGATGGGAACTTGCTACAGGAACGGATGCCCCACTGCCGCCCTCCTCAATACCGCCTCAATGCTCGTACCATAAACGCCTGCGTCTTGTTCCGTCGACGCTGCACGCACGGCAACTTTGTTTCCGCCGTGGCGGATGCGTCGTCAACGCCCGACTTGGCATGCCGTGTTACAAGCATGGCGCCACCTCTGGCAACGTCCTCTGCCTGGTTCAAAGATGCGACCAGACTGCGCACGCCCACAAGTGGCTCATGGCAGACGATGGCAGTAGTACGTTTTGTTGTAGACTTGGATAGTCTCATCACGGACAGTATCATCATCTTCTGCTCGTTGAGTGCTTGAACAGCCACGATCCCTTCTCGCTCCAATTCCTCTATCGATGGCTTGAACGCGTGCCCTCGCTCCGTCTACGCTGGTCGAGATGGTGTACGGGCCACAAGACCTCAGCACTGGGAGAATGACCCCTTCCCCCTCCGTCGCAATTCCGCCACTGCGTCGAAGCGGATCAAGTCGGTATGAGCAACATCCCCACACACCACACACGAAAGAAACACGCTCTGGCCGGCACAAGCGCCCATCGCCATGGCCTTTGAAGTGCACTTCGTTCTGGATTTAGAAGGCCATGAGCCCTTGACACAAAGAGACCGCCACGTCCTGTCTTGAAGTGGCTGACAGGTTTTCTTACCCATGGGGAAGCTGGGGGGAGGGTCGATTCAGTAGTTGGAGGGGGGGTCGTTTGCGCGATGCACAAATTTTGCACCCCTGGCGGTAGCACGACGCACGCAATGTTTCGAGAGTGTGAAAACGATATGCCACGCTAAAGATAGCCGTTTGTCGATTCCAAGGGTTGGTCTTTGGGGGGGCTGAAAATGCCAGGCCTTTCCACGCTTGACATGAGTGTCCGGACCCATCCCGAAGCGATGACGACGATCCCCCGAGCGACGTTTCTCCGCCCGCGGTCGCCCACCTGTTCGGACCCCTCGACTCTTGCGCACCGTGCGAGTCGGATGGTCAAGCGGCCATCCCGTCCTGGATCTGGGAGCAGCCACCACGTCGGGGCTACGTCGGACGCGCGCAGGCTCACGTCCAAGGTGTCGTACTACTCGACCATGCGCATCCACGTCAAGCGCGTGCAGTACGCGCTCGAGGAGGAGAAGCGCACGTCGTTCTACAAGGAGCTGGCCGTGTACTTGGTCTTTCTCTTCATCATGCTCGTCACGGTGTGTGAGCTCCGCGTTCAAGTCCCGTTCGAGCACAACGACGGCCTCGACCAGGTCTACTTTTCGCAGCAATTCCCCAACCAAATGTCCCCCAAGACGATCCACGACGTGAACAACGTGGACGACATTTGGGACTGGTTCCAGGGGGTTCTCGTTCCCGGCTACTACAACACGACCCAGCGCAACAGCTTTCGTGTGTCGAGCGTGCAGGTCCGCTTCAGCCGCGTGCAAGGGCGGCCATGTCGCACCGTCACGGCGCTCGTGGCGCTCTTCCCAGCGCAAACGTGCTACCCCGCGTTTGAACACGGCAGCCAAGACACAGCCCCGTACGGCGACGACGGGTTTGGCCACCCCTTTGCATATGAAACGGGACTGCGCCCGCTGCGCCGGTCGCTCCAATACACACCGAATTTGTGGAACTTTCGCATGGACTATGGAACGGGTACGAAAGCGGCCTGCATGCTTCATGTTGGTGACGGGAATGACGTTGTAGGGGGCTACACGGTGTACTTGCCGCGAGACGACGCGGCGGTCGGCGTCGCCATGGTCGACGCCATGGCCGAGACAGTCGTCCTCCCCAGCACGCGATATATAGCTGCGACGTGGGTGTTGTACAACCCGAGCACGGACGTCGTGAGCCAGCTCCATGCGCTGTTTGAAATCAGCGCGACGGACCGGGTGCAGATGTCGTACCGAGTCAGCAGCTTTGAGCTCCGAGACATCCACTCGATCGACGCGCTCGCGCTCGACACGCAGAGTTTGCTCATGGTGTTTCTGGCCGTCGTCACGCTCGGCTTCAGCTACCGCGAAGTGCAATCGATCGGCGACGGCGGCGTGCGGTCGTACTCCAAGTCCGTGTGGAACTATTTTGAAGTGATCCAGATCGGGTGCCTCTACGGCCTCGTCGTGGCCTGGTTCTTGTACGTTGTGGAGTGCCACCACATCGTTCCCACGCTCCAACGCATGGTGCAGGACACGTCGTGTACAGCGCCGACGAGGTACACGGATATGACATCCCCAAACGAATGGCTAGCATTCGCTTGGGTCTGTTTCGTGGTCGTCATCTTGTGTCGAGTAGTGGTCGCGACTGCTTTGTCGAGCTCACGTCGTTGGCCGACCTTGTGGACACAATTCACAATGTGGGGGCGACTCTGGCGCTTGTGAGTGCCGCGATCGTGTTCAAGTACCTCCGGCTCAACACACGGCTCAACATGCTGTGGGAGACGCTTCGACTGGCGGCCAAGGACCTGGTTGCGTTTGTCTTTATCTTTATGTTTGTGTTTTTTGGGTACGCGATCATGGGCTTCCTCCTCTTTGGCACGCACTCGCCCGACTACCGGAGCCTGTCGGACAGCTTGACGGCGTGCTTTCAAATGCTGCTGGGCGATTTCAACTATGCGTCGCTGTCGGCTGCAAACCCGGCCATGTCGGGCCTGTTTTTCTTTTCGTTCATGATTCTGGTGTTCCTGATCGTGGTCAACATGTTTGTCGCGATCTTGAGCGAGTACTACACGCTCGCGCAAGCGGCGAAGCGCGAGACGGACGCGAAGAAGAAGATGCTGCTCCATGCCACGACGGACGACGACCAGGTCGTCGAGTACGACGTGTTCAAGCAGGTCGTGTCGTTTGTACGAGATCTGCGATGGCGCGTCAAGTTTAGCCGCACGGAACCAGTGCCCGTCGTCGGCAACTCGTGCGTCCTCGTCGTCGACTATGCGTACTTGATGGCCGAGCGCGCGCGGCTGCGGACAAACTTTCGCATGGCGATCTTGGTCGTGCGAACGTGCATTCGATGGTTTCCTCGACCGTTTGACCGCCCGTCCGACGGCAACCCACGCCTCGCCAGCGTCGGCATCCACCCTGGCCTCCCCCCCAAGGCCCGCCCCACGCGGCATCTCAATTACACGAAATTCCCCGTCACCTATGTACCGCTCCATTCCAAGTCGGCCGTCGCCGCCACCATGATCGACCAGCTTGAGCCAGGCATGGTGCTCGATCTCGATGACGGGTCCCTCACCTGCGACCGGATTTGCCTTGAAGTCCTCGGGCCACAGGAACTGTACTTGACACACGATGCCAACGACACGGATGACATGGATCCAAACGAACGACGTCCACCGTCGCGGGCGCACTTTGGATTGCATCACGTGCATCCGACACTTGGCAGTGGCAACCACATCAAGTGCTGCCGCGTGAGGTACCAAGGGGAGATCATCCTGGCGGGCCACGAGTCGTGTGTTGTATCGAGGCGTGTGTGGGTGAAATATCTGGTGGCAAGGCTGTGGCGCGTCGTGGCCTCTGTGTTCAAGTCGTCGTGGTGGCGCCTCCGATGCACATCGTCGTCGCCGCTCGTGGCCAAGCGGAAGCGGCTCATCTCGGACGACGACCTCGCCATGCTGTTGCGGGCGCACATGACCAAAGACGAGAGTTTGTCGTGCCGATTTGACGAACTCGTGCGGCAGTTCCGACTGTTCCTGGCAAAGAAAGCGCGGCAAGGCGCGGTGCGAATCCCCAGCCACGACTTGGAAACGTGCGTGCTGCACGAAGCAATTGCGTTTGTCGAACGCTTCCCAAAAGCGCTCCTGCCTCTGGACAAGCGGGAACTTGTCGGGTACAAGTACGTCCCGTCGCCGACCGACACGGCCACGATCCGGCTCCCCAACAGCATCGCCAGGCTGTCGGAATTCCTCGCGCAGAATGCCCACGAAGTGTGGTCAGAGAGCCGCATTGCCCAAGGGTGGAAGTGGGGCCCCCATCGCGATAACGACAAGAAACTCCATCCCGACTTGGTAACGAGCTATCTTTTTCCGTCCCCCATGTGCATCCCCTTGTCCAACCTCACGCGACTACCTTTGCGTGTAGCTCGCATACAATCAACTCACGGACCACGCCAAGCAGTTTGACCGAGAATCGTCCATCGAAACACTCAAAGTCATTCAGGCGCTGGGCTACGTGATTCATCCAAAGGGCTCGTCGTCTCAGCATCCCACGGCCGCCGCCGCTGGCACGGCAGTCCCTTGCAACGACGCGGGGACGACGACCCAAGTATGGGACGTTGAATTCGGCATGCCCGCGCCCCCCGGCGACACGTACACTCCCAAACCGATCGCGACAGCCGACGTTCACTTGTCGGGGGAGCTCCAGTCGCTTGTTGAACTGCTCGCGGAAAACTCACACGACCTGTGGGCGAAAAAGCGGATGGAGGAAGGGTGGGTATACGGCCCCAAGCGCAACGACGCGACCAAGGAGCACGACGGGCTCGTGCCGTACGTGTATCTGACCGCGGAGGAGAAAGACATGGATCGCAACAGCGCCGTCCAGACCGTCAAGTGCATCCTGCGCTGTGGGTTCACGTTTCAACACAAACGAACGAACGCCAAGTTCAGGTAGCCTGACCGAGTGCTCATTCTTCACGGGGGGAGTGTTCATACGACTTGGTAGAATGTTTGGCGCGCCACAGAAAGCATCCAACCCAGACCTTTCCACGACCGTTCCTAACATCTCCGGGGGGAAGGACACTGCGGTGCAGGGGCCTGTTCCGTCCACCAAGGCGTTGGTGCTTATGCCGCCGACACATACCCACCCGGCCGCCCACGACCCGTCTCTTCACGTCCCGAACCAGCTTTGCATTCGTATTGCTCCATAACATGTCTGAGCTGGCTGGGTTGGCGCGCGACGATAGTGCTTGGCATTGTGTGCCCCATTCGACATGGAAGCTTGAGAAGAAGAGAGAGGGATGGATGATGGTTCACAACCTGCACGTCGTTCTTCGCCGTGAATGAGCAACGCAGTGCCAAACGAGCGCGGCGCGGTCGTTGTCGTGGGGAATCGGGCGTGACAACGTACCATCCGAAAGACGAACTCGGTGCGCAGATCACGACGTAGCGTAGTCCCGCGGATGGTCATACATGCCGTCGAATTTTGCGGCAACGCGTATGCCAGGTACGCGCATCTTTGATGTCTGCCGTACGGACGAATGGCATCGGTGGCCCAGCCTCTTCCAAACGTGGTGTTGTCGAGCGGTGCTCTCTATGGATGCTGCGGCAAGGCTGCGATGACGGCTGCGACCATGGAAGCGAACGGCTCGGTGTCCATTGTCGTGTTGTACATACACACTTGCTGCCACGACAGATTCAATAGATCGAACTTCATTGGATTAAAATCAGATCATTTTATCCAGTAAAAACGACTCTCGACGATTTGAGTGGGGAGATCTGGACGATCCACAAAGATTTTCAAAACTTTTTAACCAATCCGCATTCGTTATTTTATACCAACTCACGAACTTGCGATCGACTCGAATTGTACGTAGATCCCATCGAAGGCACGGTGGGAATTCGACCGATGCTACGCCGCTTGCTGCTCGCGACGCTGGTCGCCACCGCCATTCACGGCGTGCGGTTCGACGATCGAGTTGTGTGGATGCCGCAGGCAAAACTATACGTACAGGACGCGGCTACCCCGTCCGAGGATGCACTCTCGCAGGCCATCGCGGCTTGCGACCTCACCTGCATCAAGGACAAAGTTACCCGCACCATTGCGTTTGTGCATCGTCAAATGAGCACGTTTCCAGCGCCCGGCCTTGCGCTGTCGGTGGTGTACGCGAATCGAACTGTGCTTGCCCAAGGGTTTGGCCTTGCCGAGGTATTTGCTGCGTGTAGCGGCGTCTCGTCATACGCTCCTGCGTAGCACGGCAACCGCAAGGCGGTCGTGACCCCACACACGCTCTTCGAAGTCGGGTCGTTCTCGAAAACGTTTGTCGCCGTGGCCATCGCTGTCCTTGTACGTGTGCCGTAGATGCGGAGGAGGTTCATGCAGGGTATTCGTTCAGGTCGACGAAGGCAAACTGACCTGGACCGACTCGGTGCAACAGCACTTGCCGTGGTTTGAATTCGCCGACGCGTATGCGACGCAATTCACGACCCTTGCCGACCTCGCCGCCATGAACTCTGTCTTGGGCGATTACGAAGGCGACGACGTGATCGCAACGGGGGTGTATCTCACCGAGAAGAACCTTGTCCACGCGCTTCGCCATTTGAACACAACGCGGCAGGTCCGTCCGGGGTATGCGTACAGCAACCTGAACTACGAGATTCTCGGCCAAGTGATCGAGGCGGTGACAAACCAGCCGTGGCACGAGTACATGCGCAGGGCGATTTGGACGCCCCTCGGCATGACCAACACAGTCGGACGGGCACAGGACAGTCGCTCGAGCATCTCGGGGGGGCATTTTCACTGCAATGGACAAGTCCTCGGTCCGTTCGATGTCACCAACTCGTCCCGGGTGATGCTCCGGCCCGGCGACCACTACGCCGCCGCAGGGTCCATCTTGTCGACGGCGGCCGACCTGTCCAAGTTTTCCGAGTTTTTAATGCGCAAGGGCGGCAGCCTGATGAAGTCCCCCGCCGTGATTGCCGACCTGATCACGGGCCACAGCGTCGTGCCGTTGCCGGTCGAGTTTGCCACGATCAGCGGGTATGAATTCGTGCCCGACGGCGACGCCGTCACGGCCGGGTACGGCTTTGACGTGGTTGGGGACATCATGCATGGCCACCAGTACGTCGACAAGGGCGGGGACACGTTTTCGTTTCACACACGAACGGGATGGCTCCCGGCGCACGGCGTCGGGGTCATCTTGGTGGCCAACGCGCAATCGTTTACTGGACGCCCCCGCGACATGGCCACCATCGACCTCATGCGCACCTACATCCTTGGCGTCTTCCTGGACATCCCCCCGGCGCAGCTGGACCGTCAATTCCAAGCGTCCCTCGCCCAAGTCGACAAGTTGTTTCGTCCGTCGGCGTGTGATCCGTACTTTTATCAAGGCATCCCGTGGGACATTCCCGGCGTCACCATCCCGAACGCGACGAAAGCGGCCCTCGTTGGCACGTACCACGCGGTGCAGTCGCCAGCGTACTATGGCGCGGTCGTCGTGAGTTTGAACGGGACGACGCTCTGGATGGAATACGGCGTGTACAAGCGCAGATTGATCGCGACGCTGGACTCGGCCACCCTCGTGTGGGCCGTCGACATGGGAGACACGACGACAACGGTGACCATTGCCGACGTTGACACGGCGCGGCCGCGGATCACGTACGGCGTCGACTTTATTCGCGACCTTTGACTCCATCCGCTCATTCAAAACTCGTCACGTGGTTGGAAAGCCGATGCGTCGTTGTCAGGTTATTCGATACGATCTGTCGTGAAAGCATGTTGCGCACACCGGCGATCCCGGTTGGGGTTCCTTCCCCCGGCAGGCGCTTTCCACGACCATCGCGCCTTGCACATTCCCCCCGTCGCATCTGAAACATGCCGTTGTCCACTCGCATTCTCGCGATGCTATAGCACGTCGACAAGGGATACGAGGGAGCGCCATCATCATGGCTAGCCTTGGGTACGTGTATGGAGGGAAGGCATAGTCCGTGGACAGACTCGCATTAATGGGAGCATAGAAAATATTCTCCCACACCATCGCTTTGGTCCGCGAGGGTCGACGTTGGGGCGGCAATCCAGTCGGGGGTTGTCGAGTGAGCATCGTGTGGGTGCTCGGGGTGGACGGGGGCCTTGGCTAGCATGGCTGGCTGAACATACTGGTGTACGGGGAAGTCCATGATGTGGTGTCCATGCCGCCGATCGCGGTCGATACGGACGCAGTCGAGGAGGGGGAGGTATTTCGCGGTGCGCGGGTACAAACTGAGAATGTTGAGATGCGCGAGGAAGGTGAGGATGGGAAGGATGGCGGCGGCGACGACGGGACCGGGCGCTTTCTTCAGCGAGAGCACGCCAAGCAAGGTGAGCTGCGCAATGACGAGCGCACTAATGACAAAGTTGTAGAGCGGGTGCCACGGCAACCCCGTCGAGTGGACCACCGGGTCGTACACAAACAAGAGCTGGCGGCGGAACACGACGTCGCTCACGGCAAAGTACACGAACGCAAAGTAACACAAGATGGGCGACATGGGGCAGAAGGTGAGCGTCAAGAGAATCGCGAGAAAGTAGTCGGGCAAGATTTGGCTGTGGGGAACGACGCCGGGCTCGGACGCAGGCGAGAGGCCGCACCATGCTGACGCGCGGTCGCGGGGAGTCGTTTTCGGGGCCAGCAGGTTGTACAAGATGCCCACAAGGACGGGGCCGACTCGAAAGAGCTCCACGACCAACGTTAGACTGGTCTTGACGACAAGGTACGACGTGAAGGCGGCGGCCTGGGCCGGAATCGCTTTCGCCAGCATCGTGATGATGCTGACGGGGTTGTCGACAAGGGCTCCGAGGCTGTCGAGCACCGACCCGACGATCACAGACACGGCGAAAATCTGAATCACTTGAAAGTACACGAGCTTGTGAAGGAGCGCTGTTTGCACTTGCGACTCGGACAGGTGGCCCTCGCGCCGCGAAATCCACAAAAACATGACGGGGGCGAGCGCTGTCATGATGGCGAGGCCGAGGGGGGCGAGCTGCTTGAAGAGCCCTTCGAGCCACTTGTACTTGACAAATGTCGGGCCCAGAGAAGGGACGAGTTTCTGCAGCGACTCCACCGACGAAAATGAGGTCACGACCGTCGACGGCACCGTCCAAAACACGACGATCCCGATTGTGACGGACCGCGCGACGACCTTGAGTGTGTTGCGCATGTGGATCTTGAGCCCGAGGTTTTCCCAAATGATGTCGGCGGCGCTGGGAGCGGCTTCGATCACCATTTTCGTCGGCTTGGACGTTTGGAGGAGTTGCTGGGCCATGTGGGCCCCCAGGAGCGTTCGAAACGTGACAAACGCCGTCGGGTGCATGAGGGCAAGGAGGCTCTTCGTTTCGATGACATGACGAGAAGCGGTGGCCGGCAGGACTTGCATTGGACCAGACCTCGTCGAGTGTCTTGGATGGATATCGCCGCTTTGCGATCGCTCTGTACATGTGATTCGCGTGAGTGGGGACCGCGGGTTCATGGGGATGGTCGATACCGATGCCAGGATCGGAAACGCAGCTAGCATCGATGAGGCAGTCGTCCGCCATGGCTTCGTACAAGTGCTTCTGTCGCAGCTCGAGGTTGTCGACGTCGGTGGCGACGCGGTAGTTGAGCGTTTCCAGCTTGGAGCCAAAGTAGTCGATCGCATCGACGGTCGTGCCTCGGCTCTTGACAATGTGCACGGGACGATGTCGGTGTTGCTGCGGCTGACTGGCGTACTGCGTTAGGGCCCGCTCGAGCTGTCGTCGACAGTGCTCTCGTTTGGCCACCAGTTTCTCCAGGGGTTTGCAGTCCACTGCCACAACGACGCTGTGGATTGCATGCGGGAACAAGTGGTTCAGGTACTTTTTCAGGCTTTCGCACGTTCGAAGCTGCTTGGGCAGGTCGCGAATGACGACGCTATACTGCTGCACGTGGGGCTGGCTCAGAAGATGGTGGCGCCGCGCGACAAAATCCTTGTACTCGCGATGAAGTAAGTGCAACGTGTACGCCGACACAACATACATGGCCACGACCGCGGCCCTACACAACCCGATTCACAATCGCCATGGAACACGGCGACAACGACGACGGCACTCACCAAAAGCGATGGTCGTTCTCGCGCAAGATGTTGACCGCGATGCGTTCGAGAGTGCTCACGTCGTTGCGAGTCCACTGCGCTGTCGCGTACACGGGGAAGAGTACACCTGACAAGATGATTCCACACATGGCAACCTTGCGCCCAAGTCGAATGAATCGCAACAAGCACAGGCTGTCGAGGCCACATGCGTCGACGATCTCATCGTCCGACACACGAAGCGCCGGGAGCACCCATCGGCCAAACCGATCGTTCAACATGGGGAAGCCCACGGGACATGCATAAGCGGGAGACCGATCGCGGCACGCGTAGAGCGGCCGCGCCGTCGAGTGGCGTCGCACCCATTCAAACGCGATCAATGAACCGCCGAGGATCGGAAAGTAAATCTTCATGGACGTCCACACTTGCTGGCTGTCATCCAGACCTCCCGACATCGTAGACGCATCGCTCATCGAGCGGAGGGTGCCCGCAGGAGGTGTGCAGCCTCGTCAGCGCCTGCCGGGGTGCAGGCGGTTTTCCCAGGACTGTTACACCACTGAAACCGCTGCAGCACCAACTTCGGCAAGTACGATGGTACACTCGATTAAGTACGCGCAATTGTGGAAACAAGTACGATGGTACATTCGATTAAATACGAGCAATTGTGGAAACAGGCGACCCAGCCACGCCGCGCGCGACGGCCGCGTGACGACTTGTCGATGGGGCAAGAGATGAGTACAAAAGTGTGAGGATCTCACACAGCAGCGCGTCGACATCGGGCAGAGGCGGCGGCGCTGCGGCACCGGCGTGCGGGACAGGGACGTGTGTCGGAAGTCTTTGTGCCGTCATAGCCTCCTCCACCAAGAGCTTCTCGTACTGCCACATGTCGGCTTGCAGTTGCGCCTCCATGGCCGTGCACAGGTCCAGCTGCGCCGCGGTCATTTCGGCGGCGTAAAGCACGACTTGATCAGCCACGTCGAGGAAATCCATCTCGCGGAGGTCGGCAACACCGTCGCCCCCACCGACACCACTACTCGACGACTGCGTCGACTGCCATTCGTCCCCAACAGTAGCTTCCGTGTGGTTGTCTGCGGCGTCATCGTGCGCGTCTCGTTGAAAGGCACCGTCGTGGTTCATGTCCGTGATGTGGCCGTCTTCATCGTCGCCGTCACACAGCCACTTGCTCTGGGAGACACACCGCTGCTTCTTGAGGCTTCGCAGCTCCCGCTGGATCGCGTTCGATTGGCTCTTCGCACTCGATGCTGTCAAGAGCCGTGCCGATTCCTCCCGAAGCCGCATCAATTCAAACTCCATGTCCATCATTGCATCATGCATCGCTTCCATGTAGTGCTGCGTTCGAGTGAGCTGCGGTTCCACCGCCGCTGCTTTTTCCAGGTCGGACGTGAGGCGACACTTGTCGCGCGTCAATACGTCAACTTGTGCCTGCAGTCGCTCCATGCGGTCACATGTAACTTGGAGTTGGGTGTGGTGCGTGGCATTTAACTCGCCCAGCGAAGTCTCAAGCTCAGCGATGCGCAAGTCTTTCGAGTGTAAATGGCGCTGCAAAATCGCATATTCGATTTCCAAGTCGTCGCACCGATTGGACACGTCTTCGTACACATGCCACGGTACCATGGGGATGTTGTTATTACGGCACAGAACTGGGCGGCGCTTGGAGACGGGGGAGATCGTTCCACAAGTCGCAAGCCACTGTCGTTTCTTGAGTCGAGGATTTGGCGGTGGGCTCATAGCCCCTGCTTGGCGAGGTGATTGCTCCATCGGTAGTTCAATGGCTTGTTTGGGAAGTTTGTGGCTCATCGGTCGCTGTCTCGTGGCAAGGCTGGCATGCGCTGGCAGGTCGTTGTTGGAGGCGTGCATGCCTCGTTCCCGCCGTTGTTTCTGTCTGGTGACCATCCCGTCGTCGGAAGATTTGCGGTCGCGCTGGTGGCCTGTGAAACTGCCCACTGGGCGATTGTCATGTTTCCGGTGAGTGCTATATTTTTATTGCAATGAAGGAGAAGAGTATACAAATATCAATACATTCTGCAAGTTTTTGAAGATAAAATTTCGTTGCGTCGGATTGTTGAAGTGCAACTGGAGTGTGGATGATGGGGAAACCCTCAAAGACGCACCTGTACCATTTTCCCACGTCGGATAAACCTACATTTAGTGCGCTATTCATTTAAAAACAGCACCGAATGCAAGGTTCCACCTGGTTTGACCCGTTTCATGTCGGCGGGAACGACGACGTTGTCCCGCCACTTCCGAAATTCCCCAAGATCATGCTCACCAAATGTTTATTCATCTTTGTCTGGATTGGCTGCTCGATTGGCGTTTTACGACGGAGACGTGCAGTGTCGGACATGTATGACCAGGGATTGGCAAGTCATGAATTTTCAAAATCGAGGCAGTCCATGTCGCTTTTGACATCCTGATAGGCAATCGAAAGATTGAGCCAACCACGTTTTAGCAAAAGGTCTACAACGATATGGCCCATGAAAGAGGAAATTGTGCGCTATTTTTTTCAGCCAATCAAAACGAAGATGCATAATATGTTTTCCCGCGGACGATTTTGAGAAATTGCACCAAATGCAATGTGCACTTCCCACCCATCCAAGTCGTACAGCGCCGGCAACGCCACCTACACGGACGAGCTTACCGGGTGGCCTGGCGTCCACCCTACTTCGACAGTTCGAGTCGAGTTGTAGGGGTTGCTAGTGCACAGAGCGGGCGGGCCGAATTTGCCATGTTTGGGCCGTTGGACCATGAAGTAATAGCTTTCGTCTGCATCGCGGGGCCGTTGTGGTTACGCCGTTGCGTGCTACATTGTTCCCTGCGCCTCCAGGCTCAAGGTCGCTCGCACTCATGCTGAGTTCTGGTGGTGTATGGCGCCACAGCGCGACATGATAAAATCCAGACCTTACAAAACTGTGAAGGGTGTGGAGAAGTATCGCATTCACGTCTTCCATATTCTCAACTTGCAACCTAACAGTTAATGCTTGTAGCCGATAAAGAGGCCCCATTTTTGGTCGCCGTCGGCACAGCGCACAAGTTTGGCTTCCCAGCCATCGACAATGTCCTGGTAGTCTTTCTCCGACGTCTGCGCAATGAAGTCTTGGCGAGCTGCGACGGTACGTTCGAGCTCGGCCTTGAGCACGTAGATAAAGTGCTCTGTGCGATCCTCGGCGACGACGTCGGAAAACCCAGCCTTTGACAGGACTTGGCCATACTGCGATGGCGACAAGAGGTGGTATCCCCGGCTCGCCACGTAAGCTTGGAAGCGGTCCGACTGTTGTTGTTCGCCACAGCAATAGTCTGAGATCAGCACGCGGCCGCCGGGCTTGAGCCAGCGGTAAAATTTCTCAAACAACCCGAGCTTGTCAGCAATGTGCAGAATCGTGTCGCGCGAGTAGATCACGTCAAAGGATCCAGCCGGGTACTCCTTGGTAGTCGCGTCGCACACTTCAAACTCAACGTCGACCGTGGGTTCAGCCAGCGAACGCTCCAGCGCGCGATGCACCATATTCGTCGACAAATCGATTCCAACCACGGACACACCAAACGCCTTGGCCATGTAGAAATCGCCGCCGCCAATGCCGCAGCCGACGTCCAACACGCGCTCACCAGCTTTGAGACCAAGCTTGGCCACGAACTCGGTCGTCGTGTCTTGGCCACCCGTGCTCACGTAGCCTTCACCAAAAATCTTTTCGTAGCGGGCAATGCTCCCAGTCGAGTACTGTTGTGAGTCCAAGAAGCGCTGGAACGACTCGATCGATCCGTCTTTGGTGACTTTGCGAAAGCGGAAGCAGATCTGCCCGTTGTTCTTCTTCACGCGGCGGTAGACGCTGACGCTGGATTGAGAGATCAACTCAAACTGGCTGATCTTGCCGTTGCCTTCGTCAATCATGACGGATGAGAAAGCTTCCATGTAGAAGCTCGGGTGGCGGTATTGTGTCGGGTTCGACGTGCGCTTGACGTCACCCGATTGGCGAAAGCACGATTCACGGAAAAACACTTCACCCCCTGTGCGGAGCCATTGCAAGTTCTTGAGCGCGAGCTTCTTCACCTCGACGTCGTTCAAGTACATGAGCAACCAGTTGGAGAACACAACGTCAAGGGACTCTTTCGGACGTTCCAAGTCGCACACATCGCCACAGATGAATGAGCAGTTGGCACGATGGCCATTCGTTTCGACATTCGTAGCGTGGAACCCTTCGATGAATTCGACGGCCACCACAGACGCAGCGTGTTCAGCAATGGTGCCAGTGTATCGACCGATACCAGCAGCCATTTCAAGCACGTCTTTATCCTTGTAGGACGGCATCTTGGACAGAATTTCGGGCGTCTCGAGTTCTGTCAAGATCTTGGCGTTCGAGTCCAGCATCATGGTCTCCACGTTGCTGTCGGAACTGTGCTCGACCCAGTATGCCTTCATGGATGTGCGAGTCTCCGCGGTGGGAGACACCTTGGATGCGGGATGTTGTTGCTGTCGTTCCGTCGACATGACCGCTTGACGTCTGGACGGGTTATCTGAAAATGACCAGGCGAGGAAAAAGGAGGAACGCAAAAAACCGCGGAATCCAAAATATACTGAAAAATACACGAAAATGAGCGAAATTTGCAACCTATTTAGGAGGTTCCCAATTTAGGTGAGGGCGTTGGTCAAAAGGTCGCAAGCGCGGCGGGGAGACATGGCCAATGCGTCAACAATCTCCGCCTGGGGGCTGTCCGCGCCTGGCGCCGTACGAGGGCTTCTCAAGGAAAGGCCACACACACTACTATGGCACTGGTGCCACCACGTTTCCTATCGTTGGTGAACAAGGTCGTTGTGGCTATTTTGCAGAGGATAACCAAGAATCAAAGTATTGCTGGAATGGATGAATCGGGAATGCGGCGCAACTGGCGAGATAGAATACATGGCTCGAACTGCAAGGCAGATATTGCCATCGACTTCGTGTCCTTGTGTGGTACGCTTCAATGAGGTCGAAGTGAGTCTGTCTCTGCAGTGCGCTTCGCCCGAAACATGGCCAGTACTTCAAGGTCGATCTGGCGGCGCTGAGCTCTTTTGAAATGACACGGTCATCCCTCCTCCAGAGTGGATGTGCACTTTTTCGAGGACATTTCAGCCAATCATGATTCGTTTTGCATCAAATCCCTCGATTTCATTGGCTTCTGCATTGGTGATGTCATACCCCCGTGGACGCCTCGTTGGTGACGATAGGACCGACGCAACCATTGGATCGGAACGACGCAACTGCGAAAGCGGAAAAGCGGGGATCGCCAAGCCAAAACACAATGTTGAAGCATCAAGCAAAAGAGCGCACTTGGCACAGCTTGGCCGCAAGCAGGATGGTAGCCCCTGACGAGGCAGCCCGGCCAGGAGCGTCGCCGTGGCTTTGAAATTCGTCCAGCATCCATCGCGGAGGCGCCGACGACAGATGAGTTAACAGATGGTCGGCCGGCCACAGTGTTCGTGCAATTCGACACACGATGCCAACTCACCCCTCTGCTGAAGGACAATGAAAACGTGGGGAGCTGTATGTTTCAAGTCCCGACTTGCCGACTGAGATCTGCTTCTTCTTGCCATCCCAAAGCACAAGAGCACGATGTCTTGATCCACTGTCGATTTGTCGCACCCCCGAAGAATGCGCCAACGGGAATATATGACATGGTGAGTTTTTGCATGGTTGGCATTATGCTTGAACGAGGCATACAGTGATACCTCACATTTTGCACCATCTCCAAAATATAAATTCTAACAAACGGATGGAAACCCAAAGAAAACGACCTCTGAAGACTTTACACATCAAGTACTACTTGACGTCGAATCATATTATGCAGTTGATTCATTTTGAGTGGGGTGCAAAATGTGAGGTATCACTGTAATTATTAAAATCTACCCAAAATTTTTGATGGCAACACGGCAAATTCGGAGAATTTGAAAAGGGACGAAGTACGTATTTTCCATTCATGTTATCACCAGCTCATTTTTAATACATATGGCTAATCCTTCTTTTTCTTTATTACTAGTACTACAAGTACAAGCAATTGGATGAAGTGATAAATCAAATTTTACTTCAAAAAGAATTGGTAGCCAATTGTATTGGAGTTATGAGTATTCTGATGGAGTAGATGATACAACTTTTTGATAAGTAGTTACTACTACGTAGTAAGTACTTCGAAGTATATGATTTTTTAAAAGATTTAGATAATGGTCAATTTCGCTTATTTTATCGTGTTGATACTATTACTTCGAAGTACTAGTAGTAGGATCGAACACTCTATCCGGACATTCGCTCCGAATCCGGATACCCTCTTCCATGCTGTTCCACAACGTTTGTGATTGGTTCAAAAATAGCCAATCCAAGAACAGTATTCCGTCGTTCGTAGCGGTAGCAACCTTCAATCGCGCGATGGCGTCGGCACAGGCGAGCGGGGCGACGCTCACGACCAAATGCACGAACAAGACGTCGGTGGCGTGCGTCGTCAGTGGCACAAAGGAGATCGATGTCCCATACTCTGGTGGCTCGTATTTCTACGTCAATGACGACGTCGAGTACATCGATTTCTTTCCGTCAAAGCCGACGACCATGTGTGGCTTTATCACGGCAAGCGAGTGGCAACGTTTTCACGTATGGCTTGTTGTAGATACGTCCAAGGAGGTGATAACGGCGTCAAAGTGAACCGACTGAACCCAGTGCTCACTGGGGACCACGCGAACACGCCGCTCAACGTTGAAGACTTGTTCGTCGTCACGATTGTTGCCGTCAAGATTCCTCACCAGTGCGATGTGGCCCATGTAGGAGTATTAGATACCAAAACCTGACGGAAGCTGTGAACCTCGTCAAGTGGCCTGCGTCGCTTCGTTCGTTGTACGCGTTGTCCTCTTCCGGTGTCACTGCAATCATCATCATCCTAGGGACCTCACAGGAAACAAGATCCGTACGATGAACTCGAGCTTCTCCCTTCCGCCCAAGCTGCGGTCCTTGTACGGCAGCTCGTCCATCTGACCTGGCTCATCCAGATGTGTCGTAGGAGTGTCTCGACCAACGAAATGACGGTCTTTGATAACGTCATGCTGCCCGAATCGCTCGAGTCCATGTACGTCATCGTGACATCACATTCACGCGTCACGTTGCCGTTTGGTAGCAACTTTGACGTGAACCAATTTGACGTGTTCAACGTGAACAACGCTTCTTTTGCGGTGCTCAAGACGGCCAAGGTGCTTACAGACCGAATCATTCGGCACACAGGGACATGCAACGGTGTCAAGGACACTTTTCTGGGAACACCGTTCACCCCCGTCAAGGGCGGCACTCCGTCTGCGGCCCTTACGCACACAGCGTGTGTTGTACTGTCGTCCGTAGTCCCTACAGGTGGAGCCTGTGTCGTGTTTCCAAAGGTCAAAGGTCTCACGTGTAGTGTGCAGGAGAACCCGGAGGACCCACGTCAAAGGCCCCGGTGGTGCATGGAGGTACAAAAATCTCTTCATTTTCCCGTCCAGCGTTGCCTTGGCAGTGTATCACCGACGTTGCCATGCGGTATAGATGTGACACAGCCTCCAGCCACGATGGAAGAATCGTCGTCGCTGGGCCTCATCGTTGATCTGTCCGCCGCGGCGGTCGTTGTCGTCGGTGTCGTTTTATTTGTTGTCCTTCGGCGTCGTCGTAGCCGCAGGAATGGCAACTTTTCCCACCACCACGCCAAGGTACGTTGTGAGCTGCTCATTCGAACTTCGTGTGCCATGTCAACTTGCAACAAGTCGATGGCTTCACAAACTCAACCTCCGGGACCGACGACGACCTGTGCTGACCATTGTCCCGCTCAACCTTGTAGGCGGTGACGGCCATCACGAGCGATGCGTTGCCGGACCACGCCATCGCGGCGGATTATCACAACCACCACACCCACGGCGCGTCGAGCCATCTGTCTTCGCACGTCAGCAACGGAAGCAGTTTCCAAGACCAGAGCACGTTTGGCTACGTGTATGACATCCGTGGGGACGCCGACTTGATCAATTACCGCATCCCAAAGCGCGAGCTGCAGAACAAAACGATATGCGGGTCTGGCGGGTTTGCCACCGTCTACCGCGCGACGTTCCATGACCAAGTCGTCGCGGTCAAAGAGCTCACGGCAAACATGCACGGTCACGCCCAGCACCGCCACATCCAAGCGTTCATGAACGAAATCAAGCTTTTCGCGACACTCAACCACAACAACATCGTGCGTTTTGTGGGAGTATCATGGACGACTTTGAATGACTTGGCTGTCGTGTCCGAGTTCATGTCGGAGGGTGACCTGCGCGACCTCTTGGTGCGCGATGCCGTTCCCCAGCACCTCCACTGGTTTGAATCGTCGTCCATGGGGTTCCCTTCCTCCGTGTCCAAGCTCTCCCTGGCCATCAACATCGCTGATGCCATCACGTACCTCCACTCGTTCAGTCCGGCCATTCTCCACCGAGATTTGAAGTCTCGGAATGTCCTCTTGTCGGAAGCATTTGTCGCCAAACTCACGTACGGTCGCTCAGCGATGGCTCGCGGTCACACAATGCCTCTCTCATCAAAATGGGCGGTTGTAGGGACTTCGGCATTTCCCGAGAAGCGTCCGACGAAACGATGACGGTGGAAGCCGGGACGGCTGCATGGACGGCGCCCGAAGTACTGACGAACAGCGGCCACTACGACGAAAAAGCTGACATATACTCCCTCGGCGTCGTTCTCTCGGAGCTTGATACGTGGCAAATCCCATACTCGAGCGGCACCAGCGGATCTGGCTACTCGAACGTTCAAATGGCGATGCTCGTTGCGGCAGGCAAACTCGCTCCGTCGTTCCGGACAGATTGTCCTCCGGAGGTGCTCCAGCTCGCTCGCGCATGCCTCGAGATGGACCCGGAGAATCGCCCAAAGGCGTCGAAAGTCGCCTATGAACTCCGCCGCCTCCATTCCACGTATCTGCGCCAAAAAGGCAAGCACTAGAATGGATGGAATGTATCAATCAGTGAGGTGATGTTGTCGTCCGTGGAGTTTGGACACAAATTCTTATCAAAGTCCTAAGTAAAGTGGGTCGAGTGGCGGCAAGCCATGCCATGGCACCACGCCTTACCAGCACATACGAAAAGCCACCATACAATCTCCAGTACATGAATCGTCGCACCTGTTCGCGATCTCTGGACAGCCAATCAAATTGCTTTCAAAATGCATTAGCCAATCAAAAGAGCCCATTTTGCATGGCACATATGCCCGTTCGACCACTACTACATCAACTGGCCGGCGCCGTCATTTTGGTCGCGGGCGTCGTTCACACGGCGGCGTGGCTGGCCATTTGCACCCGAACCAAGGCCGCCAACGACGTGGACTGGCATCGCTCCATGCTCAACGCACACAAGATTCTGCGCTACGCAGCGTGGATGGACGTATTCACGGCGCGACCGATGTGGACCGGGGTTGCGTGCGCCGCCGTCGCGGTCCCGTGCACGTTGGGGGGGGGTGCAAGTCCAACTTGCAACTGTTTTGGCTCCCGTCTTCTGTTCCTCGTGATGCTTTTCATTCGTTACGCAACTTGCCGTTGTGTGGTTTGTGCATGCGCTGACGCGAGAGCGTTCCAGATGCATGGAGCTGCTGGGTGGATCGCACCGCCCCAGGCGTGGTTCTGGGTCGCTAGGCCCCTCGCCGTATACATGCTCGAGCGGCGCTTCCGCGTCTCGCCAGCCTGTGGGGGCCAGACGTACTTGAAAACAGTCCTCGTCACGTCCAACGCGATGGTGATCTACTTGAAAACGCCACATGCACTTCACGCGTTCAAGCCAGGCATGGTAATCCCACGTCCTGGATACGCAAGGAGTTCGCCCTCACGCAACGTTGCGTTGACGCGTAGTACCTTGTACTGGAAGGTCGCGGGCCTGTCGACGATCGAGTGGCGTCCGCGCCAGAGGACGACGTGTTGTCGTTTCATATTCGAGTCCCATGCCCGCCTCCAGCAGCGGGACAAACCGCTCCCGTCCATTGCGATCGACGGCCCCATTAAGGGGGCGCCGTCCGTGGAGCATGCCAACTACAGTCGTCCGGATCGGGGGCGGCATTGGCGTGACACTGTTCGCCTCCATTCTCAAGCACCTGCTGCACGTGTGGCAGCTGCACCGCTGTCCGGCGTGTGGGTCCGTCCAACTGCCACCCCGAGTCAAATGCGCAAAGTGCAATTTTACTGGATCACAAAAAGGAGCACAACCACATGGGATGGTTTCGGAATGCTCAACCAGCACTACGCCATGGACTCGGGACCGGCGCCTCACCAGCCAAACGTACCGAACACGATCCAGCGCGCGCCGCTCAAGCTCATGCAGTCGTTCATGCAAGCACGGCAAAACCGCGATATTTTCTCGGGTCTCCACGGCTCGAAGATGCACATGAGGCGGCGCCCGGTGAGCTTTGCAACGGTTTTGTGGCGTCGTTGTGGGTTGCACGTTGCAGGGCCATACAGCTCAAGACTGTGGCTCGCGCATGCGCAGCGGCAGGGAGAACGACCGACGCCCCGGAAGAAGACGGGGTGTTTTTGTGCGGGCCCGCCAGGGCTCGATCGACGTGTCGTGGCGAGTGCTGCCCGACTCCACACACGATCGAGTTGTGGAGTTTCGCGACCACCCAGACAAGATCTCACGCAAGTAAAATAAATATGTGTGCTATGTATAGATCGTTGTATATGACATGTCGAAACCTTCGACCCCTTACCTAGGTGGGCCCCCTCAGCAAACAGCACTACTGTTGTCGATGCAATTCCCGCGGCGATAGTACTGGACCATGCACAGCGATTGCTATCGTTTGTGAAGCACCCCCTTCGTCACGTCGTCCGGGTAGTGTACCCCCTACTCGTAAGCCATGGACATCCTATTGTCCTGAGGGGACAGGATGCATATTTTCCTAGACACCGTGTCCCGATAAGATCCCCCACGCATATCATCCAGAAATCGTATCGAACGAATTGTACCACCATCACATTCACAGAGGCGTTCACTTTCGCGGGGTCGGTCCGAGGGGGGGCGACATCGTCGAGCTCGCAAGACCCACCCAGCCACGTCATGGCAGCCTAGCGCACAGATGCGACCTGACTTTCTTTTTGGAACGAGCGCAGGGGGACGATGGGGGGCGTGCGCAGTGGCAAATCCTGTCCACGTGCATTTCTCCTCCACCCCCCCCGTCGACTTGACTGGCCACAAATAGAAACGTGCTGTGCACGCACTGCCACGGGATCCAACGATGGGCCAAGAATAGCTTGTATTGGACTTGCCGACGTGCCCCACGCGTGTGACTCTGGCCCGCCATGTTTGGAAACGGCCCACTGCTTTCGCCCGACGATCGAGCGAGCACAGTGGCCAACTTGGGGGTCGACGCACACGTGGAACAGCGTCGAGCGCGCGTGCCAACCACCATGCGAGCAACCCGTCTCAAGTTCATGCTTGGCGCTGTGGCTGCTTTCGCTTGCCAAACGGCCACCGCGGCAGGATGTGCCGACGACGGCCGCTTCGCCCTCCAGCCTGCCATCCCGATTGGCCCCATGACGATGCGCACGCATGTCGTCAACACCACGGCATGCGTGCAGGTGACGTACGCCACCGCGGCGACCGTCGGATGGACGTCCATCGGGTTCGCCCAGACGCCATACATGGTGAATTCCCCCGTCAAGAACGTCGTTGTGTTCGACTCGGCGTCGGCAACGACCAAGTTGTACCTCATGGCGAGCTACGAGTCGCGCAACGTACCAGAGCAGCCAGGACCGATGAGCATCACGCCCGTCCGAGGCAGCGTTGCCAACGGCGTCATTTCGTTCACGTTTGAGCGGTCGTTGGCTGCCGCGACCGAGTACGACATGGCGCTCGATCCGACCGGCGCCACGTGCATCCTGTGGGGGTACGCGCGGCGCAAGTGGCCAGACAAACACTCGGACTACGGCGCGGTGTACATCACGTTGAGCACGTCGACGCTAAGCGACAGCGACACGATTCGACTGACGGACACGCCCGCCATCGCCGCGATTTCGTTTGGAATCATGGTCGTCCTCGGCTTGATCGTGACGTACACGACCGTCGGCCGTGGAATCGTTCGCAAGAGTGTGTGGGCCCCGCGGAAACACGTGTCCGACGTTGTGCCGGACCCCGTCACGGCCGGCGAGGCCGTCATCGTCCTCGTGTATCTCGGATCGATGGTGGTCATTGCGCTTCGGGTCCACCGCACGTTCTCCGACCTGGACGCCAAGCATCTGTGGTGTTTGATCGCGGGGCACGTGGCGCTGCAAGCACTCGTGTTTCTGCTCTTGCCCGTCGCTCGTGGCCGACACTGGGAGGTCGCGTTCGGGACGTCGCACGACCGCGTGCTCAAGTTTCATCGATGGCTCGGCGGGTTTTGCGTTGTTGCGACCGTCGTCCATTTGATTCTGAACGTCGTCAACCAAGTCGCGATCACCGACCCCAACGTGTATGGCCCCCAGGGTGCCGTCCCGCTGTATGGCTTGCTCGCGTTCATCGCGTTTGCCAGCATGGCGTTGATGGCAGCCGCCCCGATTCGCCGCGGCATGTACGAGTGGTTTTACTACCATCACCGCGTCGCGTCCGTCGTCGGCATCGTGTGTGTCATGCTCCACAGCCCCGTGGTCCAGTACACCATGATCTTTCCGTTGGCCATCTACGGCGCGTCGTTCGTCGCGCGGGGTCGAGGGTTTTTCAACACGTATCACGTCACGGCGACGGCGGCGACGGCCAACTCGGTGCTGCTGACGCTTCCCCCGACGACCCAAACCACGCAATGGGCCAAGAATGCCCACCCGTGCGCGTACTTTTGGGTCTACATTCCAGCCGTGTCGGTCTGGCAGTGGCATCCGTTCTCGTCGATCGTGACAAGAGATGGCCAGTCGATTGCGTTTTGCCTCAAGACGATGGCGCCGGATGGATTTGTCGACCGCGTCGTGCGCCACTGCTCGACGACGCCGCAGCCCCTGACGATCTTGGTCGGCGGGCCGTACGGCATCCCATCGCTTGACCTGGACAAGTACAACGACGTCCTCCTCGTGGCAGGCGGAATCGGCATAACTCCGCTTGCCAGCATCATCAATCGATATCGCCACCTTCCTGGAACGCGCACGCTGCACTTGTACTGGGTTGTGCGCACCCCCCACGACTTGCTCGCGGCCGAAGACGTCATGTTCCCGCTCCCGCCCAATGTCAAGCCAACGCTGTACGTAAGTCAAGCCACGGAAGGCGGGACCGTCGCGTCGGGCGGGGTTTTCGTGCCTTACGTCCCTGGGAAGCCCAACATGGACGAACTCATCAACACGTCGCGGTTTGGAGCGAACAAAGCCACGACATCCGTCGCCGTCATCGCGTGCGGCCCCGCCGGCCTCGTCCAAGAGGCCGAGTGGTACAGCTACACGTGTGGCTTTGACTTCCACAAAGAGGGATTTGCATTCTAGAGCAGCCGACGAGAAACTTGTCGCCACAAGAATGAAAAGGTCTCGAAAGATGATGGCGGTACACAAGGATGACAGCATAAGCCTTTTCCGGCGGCGGTGGGATGGCGTTTTCCACCGCTGATCACGTGCGGCGTCGCCGATCATCGGCATGATGCAGCCAGTGCACAAGGATGCGGACAGCGACGGCGTCGCTGGGTGCGGGCGTGAATCAATCTAGTGGGCTGACGAATGCAGTCATGCGGTCGAGAGGACTCTCGACGGCAGGCAAGATGGCATGTGTAGGACATTGCGGTTGACGACATCCCGTCGACGGCATCGACTGGATGGAGACGTGTTCATTAGTGCATCGTTGGAAACTCGACTGTGTTTCCGATTTCTGTCTCGCTGTACCGAGACATGTCGTCGGAGGGCGGCGGTGCGTCGCCGCTCGCATAACTCAATGGGGCTGTCGAGAGGATTTCGCTGGGGAGACTGCTGCCGACCGATGACGACGTGGTCGTCCCGAGAGGCACGACCAACGAGCATTTTGAGCACACGGATATCAACGCGGACGACGTCAGGTTCCACTTGAACATGCATTTCCCACACACAACCTACACAAACAGGTATCGAGAGTTGCGACAACGTGCACGACGATCGCGACGGCATCTCGCACGGGTCTGCACAGGCACGGTGCGGTCGACGCCACTCGCACAACGCCGTGAAACATGCCTGACCTGTCCGCACTTTGTACAATTCGCCTTGCGACCAAACGCGCCAAACCCCTTGAGGCAGTGAAAGCACGACTGACGCATCGATGGCAGCATCCACATGTGTTCAGGCAGCGACGGCGTCCGAGCGGCGCGATTCTCTCGCAACCACACGTCAATGTTGGTGACGCTGCGGCACCGCCGCGTGATGGCCTTGTCCGTGAGCTGTTGCCTGCGCTTCAACACGTTCCCGACAAAGTTCTCAATGCGGCTGCCGTGGGAGACGTTTCCGTGCAGGAGGTACGACATGTGGAGGTATCCCGGTCGGTCGCTCTCAATGAAGACATGGCCACTGCCATAGTTTGTCATGCGCACCAGGCCAAAGTCAGCTTCCATGTCGGGGCACGCCGCAATGTGCACCGACTTGATGGCGCACACGCGGCCGCGGCGGCCATTCACGTCGAAGTCGCGGTGGCACTACGACAGCGTGACCAACCGTCAACGGAAACGAATCGAGTATGGAACCTCCAGTAGACACGCATCCCGCTTCATGGTGACCCCCGGCACAGGCTTTTTGTACGCCCGCCACGTCACGGAGACCATCCTCGAGTCTTCTTCAGACGGCGTCGCGATGGAATACAGGTTGGCCATGTCGAGAAGGTCTTGGCCAAAGCGCTGGGCATACTGTTTCGCTTGAATTGGCGAGTCGGTCCGAAACAGGTCGACCACTTCTTCGATCGTGGCAAACACGTCCATCACACCCATGTACAAGTACGCGCCGGGTGGGGACGCCGGGCTGTATCCTCGAAAGATCCTGAGGTCCGACTCGTCGGATCGGAGCCTCCACGTGACGGGACCGTTCACAAGTTGCGCACCTTCGATCTACATCATCTCCAACGACGTGAGCCGATGGAGTAGACATGACGGTGGGAGACACATACGACATCAATTGCCAAGTCGTCAGCCCATTGAAGGTACCGTTCCCGCTCGGTGGAGGACAGCGGCGGGCACACGAAGAACCCAGGAGGAAGCGGCAGCTTCGGCACCATTGCGTCGTCGAGATGGAGAATGCGACAACTCGTGTTCCACGTTGAAAGTGGGATATGACTGAAATTAGTGTGAGGTGAGTTGGCATTCCATCTCCTGACCCAGGAGATGGCGACAGCGCACCAGCGACTGTTCTATGCAGTATGGAGGGACTCTATCTTACCTCAAGGAGACGGCGGCGCGAGCCGAGGCATGTAGGAGGTAGGCCGTGCCAATGGAGCTAACCTTTACTCGATCCGTGACCACGGCGCACGCGAAGGAACAGCGGGATGCCACTTTCGTTCGATTCCCGCGTCTCGGTGGTGGTGGCTGGTGGCGCAACACATGGATAACCCCAAACAGGTCGATACGCACACCAAAAGAACCACAACGCAGTGTACAGGTTCAGCCATCGCAAGGACTGCGACGTCCCCAGCGTCGGGCGTCGCAAGTTGGCGTCACATCGTTGTTCAATCCAGGCGGAATCGTTTGAATTCTTGACGCTATTTTGATCGTTATGTCGACATGTGAGCGTTATTTTGAACACTGCATGTACTAAAATTTCACGCAAATCCGTCGTAGGAACACAGACAGTGCGGTGGCTATTTTGAACGCTGCAGAATGTGATCATCACCAAGGGCATACAAAAGACAGGTATAATAAAACCACGTCACCGAATTGACATAAAATAGTGTGAAGCTTCAACCTGCTGCGAGATCCCATGCGGAAGCGCCATGTGGCACGCTCGCTCCCAGCACAGGCCAAGATAAAGGGGCGAGCGATGAGCTCCCGTGGGCTGGAGCAGGCTAGGCCATTCAAGTCTACTTCCACATGGGACCGTCCACATGCAATGAGATTGACACTGTTCTACGTCACTCCCTGATGGATCGTACGGGCACGATCATGGCGTGTTCGAGCGCCACCCTTCTCTTGACCGATTGAGCGGATAGCAAGGGCAACTCCATCGAGCTGAGGAATGTGTTACCCTAGTCGACATTTCCGAAGGAGTTGTTTCAGAGGTTGTCCTCTTCGAGGTAGCATGGGGCAGTTTGGTGAAGGAAGTTGTGAGCGCGGTTGAGGCAGTTTCGATCCGCGACAGTGTTGACGATTCGTGGAGATCGGTTTCACAACAGTCGATGTTGGCCAAGGGGCTGCCGCCACCGGCGGTGGACGCCGACGCACGATCGAGAGGTAATCCCAATTCCTTCATCCACGAGTGACGGGTCGTCGTTGCTGCAGCGAGGTCGACGTCGGGCGGCCATGACCTGTCCTCGCCTCCCTCGTCAAGCAGCATGCACAAACGGTTTCCATCCAACAGCAGCATTCTTATGCCGCAGCATTTGGAACCACTGCCGAAATTGCCGCCGACGTCGGCCTCCCACGGCAATCTCGTGTTGTTCAGCGAACTCGAAGCAGTCGACAAGGTGGGTCCACCACGTCCGTGAGTGCCGCCCCCTTTGTCACGTTGAGGTGGTAGTTTGACACTCGAACGTCGCCGCCCAAGCACAAGCTCGAGAAACTCGACGCCCCCAAATCTCCCCCCAAGACGGACTATAAAGTCACGACTTGCCTCTGCCTACATGACACTCACTGCAACAAGTAGGACCTGCCCGTGGTGCGACACAATTGCCTCCAAGCGATCGCGCCCACCCCCAGTCTCCTCGAGCATGCCAAACCGATCGACACCAAAGCCAACACGTTGGCAGCCGACGCGAAAGACCACTCAGCAAGCTCTAGCCACTTGCGACCCCTCGACAAGCTCGTGGACGTCAAGCTGTCGTGATCTAATTTATATCGTATGGATCGTGCCTGCGACCTTGCCTGAATTTGTCCCTCAAAGCACATTCTGTCGTCCACTGCTTCCGCCAGAACACGCCTTTTCTACCCGTTGGCACGACGAGGAGAGCCATGGGCAGGTTGATGGAGGCACTCCATACGTGGGAAGAGCAATTCTCGGCCAGCGCACGAGAGCAATGGCGCATCGAAGAAAGTTAGAAGGCACTAGATTGTAGTACAACGGCATCGCGATGTTTAACCCACGAGGCTGGAAGCCATCATCGGCACGACGCTATGATTCGCCCGCGCACTTGGCCCTCCATCGCGCATGATGGGATGCCCTGGCGCGACCGTCTTCCAACTCAAACGCAAGGGGTTCAACCGTGTTAAATGGACTGGCCCATCGCCAACGGCGTTGTGGTAGGTCGAGACGGGATTGAAAGTCGGGGGGAGGCCGAGACTGCGATGGGGGTTGCACGTGGCATAGGCGCAGCGCATTGCCCCTCGTCGGGTTGCATCTGTTGTACGTCGCGTCGGTGGCCCTGGCGGAGCCTCGTGACCGCACTTGGGACGGCATGGACGATGAGCGAGATCAAGTGGAGGACGACCGTGATGGACAGCCCATACCCGTCCGAGTCGTCAAAAACGAGGCATTTGACTTCGAACGCGATCGTCGCGGCCGTGAAAAAGTGTGTGGGGGCGTCGAGCACCGCAACGAGCTTGTTGACGAACGAATACGAATTGTTGTAGATTTCCTCGTCCGTGGCTCGAAGGTGCGGGCCCAGCTTTATGAGGGACACGAGCACGTCGGCGGCTGCCAACGGAATCAACACCAACGTGGACCAGAAGGTCGGACCCAGCGACGGCAGGACATGAATCGACGCAAAGAGCGGCAATGCCGCGGACGTCGGCCTTTGCAAGAGGGCTCGCGCTTGGCCGAGGCAGATGTCGGCGCAAGTAGTGGAGCCAGCACACAGACCGGGCATAGCTGTTTGGCACTGTGCGTCGCATACGGCTGAGAGGGTCGGCCAGATTTGGCGGTAGTACGGGGACTGGGTGGTGTTGCATAGGACGGGGCATCCCTCGACGGAGCAGGCGAAGGGACCGAGACGGTCACAGCGACTTTGGCAATTTGTCGCAAACAGTTGAAGTTGCGGTGTGAGCGTCGACGGTGGAGGGGCGGTAATCGCCTCCAGGGCCGGCGATCGAGACACCAGAATGAATATCAAGCCCACGAACAGGTAGACCCTCCGGATCGTGTGCACATTCCACGCAACGACGTGTCGCGCGCGGGCCACGATGGACGCCGCTTGCTGCATTTGTATTTTTGGACCCTTGGCGTATGGAACGATGCAACCGCCATCGTGAAACTGCAGGGCGGTCGAACGATGGCCCGCATCGTGCAGTCGACATATCCAAGGTGGTTTGGGGTCGGCGCGCTCTCTGACGGGCAGGCGGGACTGCTAGGATGACCGAGCATGGACTGAACTAGGTTGTCCGAGGCAGCGATGCCTTGATTCGCGGCGACGTCGAGTGGCGAACCCCACGCGTGCCACAAGGTTGAACCATGCATATTCATCAGCTTCAGCTTGTGGCACTTCAGCAGCCCAGTGCACAGCGTCGGCCCAAGCATGTCCCCAAGCTCTTAGCTTGGTCGCATCGCCGAGTTGCGGCAATCGAAGCATCGGCGGCGCGTTGCAAATGCGATGGTCGGTCGACATGTTTTGATATCGGAATAAGTTACGATGACGACGTTCATGCACAACACGAACAAGTCGCGCCTGATCTACCACCCGATGCCTCGGACAATTAAAAATCCGAGGCACCACGACCAGAGCTTGGTCTGGTAGCATGGCACTGCCAGCGACGACAATCCTGCCTTGTTGCCAGGTCGAGCAACCCTCTTCGTGTCGGCTGCCCATCCGTCCAAACTCTGGGCAAACGCGACGACGGCGGCTGCAATCTCGCGTCCTCGCGTTCGAATCGACGCCGGTGGGGCGCGGAAGTCCGTGCCTTCGATCTCAATCACGAGTGTCGGGAGGTGGTACGTGGCAAACACGTAGTCGCAAAACATGCCTTGGGCAAAATACAAGTCGAACGCTTGCATCGCTGTGTAATTCCCACCGTCGACGCGTCGGAGGGCCGATTGCACGTCTTGACCGACCTTGTAAAAGGCCACGTCAAATGGATGGTCCGGCGCGGTAGACGAATTCCCAAACGGCGTTAGAATCAACCCGCCGTAGCTGTGGATGTCGAGCACGCCGGCCAACTCGGCGCCGTTGGTTGCGCTCTGGGTCGAGTCCACAAACGCTCGAATGCCCTGCACTTCAGGCTCGCTGAATGGGTACAGCCCTGCAACACAGGAGCACGAACCATGAGAGGGGTCGGTTGGTGGTTCGCTGTACCCGAGTACACGAGGCTGTCCTCGTTGTCGTCGTCGGTCGGGCCAAAATTCCGATTCAAATCGACGCCGGCAGTCATGTTTGTCTCGTTGTTGAGGGGGTCATACGACCGAAACTGCATGTTCTTGCGATGGTAGCGGTGGGTTGGGCTGCTCCACGTGTGCATGTACCCGTCGAGGTTTACGATCGGGACGTACACGACGTCGTACTTGTCGAGAAGCTACCACGAAAAGCAAGTCAGCATCTCGGTCACAATGGCACTGGCTACGATGGAAAGGATCGCTGAAATACCTTGGCCATCGCGGAACGCGCTGTCGTCGCCACGGCGGCGTCGACGAGACTTGCCCACGTAAAGACGGTCGACGTGATGGAAATCCATTCGCGTGCATGCATCCCGCTTTGAAAGTAGATGCTTTTCTTGGTCGAATTCGTGGTCGTCGACAACTTATACGCTGGTACGACTCGATCTACCCTCGACACGGATCAGTAGTGCACGCACTCGTCGGACGACGGCTCATGGACGGTACCATATACAGTCGTGGTGATGGGAAACGTGGCGATCGTCACACGATGGGCCGTCGCCTCGACCGTCTTCGCCGCCATGGCGTCCAAGTACGCAAACACTTGGTCTTGCGGCCGGAAACAGTCGAAGTACTCGCTCTGAGCGAACGCACCTGGCACCATCGAGTCCAAGTGGCCCATCGTACGTGCGTGGCAATCTTGCGCCGGGGCAATGTCATCCTCGAACACAAGTACTGGCGCATCCAGCCGCTCTTGGCCACTCACGGACGTCACGCAGCATGCAACGACGGCGGCCGTTGCCCACGCGGCCATCGACACCATGGCTGGAACCTTCGCCCCGCGAGATGTGTGTTGGCTGTGTGCGACATTTTGACATGGACATTCAAGTACTTATTCAAGGTAACTTTGATCCCAGCGCATATGTGAGTTACATCGTGTTTCTCCGAAAGTAGTCAAGTGACCCACAATTCTGAACGAGATTTTCGACATTTGGACTACTGTTTCTTCAAATTTGATAGAATTCTGGGAATTTGAAGAAGTTTTGGGATATTTTTTCATAATTTTAGAAGCAATGCTGGCCTGGAACTGGTCATACGACAGGGCGGAGTCAATACTGTCTTACGTTAGTTGTACTAAGTCTCGGTACTAACAGGACACACCTGCCAGAATGAAGCATGGTGTGGGTTAGTATTTCCAAAGTACTATTTGTCTGCGGCTCAAGTACTAAACCCGTTGACGAACAGCCCAGTGCCAGATGCCAGCGGCAATGGCCATGTCGAACATCATGTGGGTTGGCATTTAACACGAGAAACCATCTACTAAAGCAAGTCGCGGTGGTCGTGGTGTGCATTTACTTGCCATGGTACAAGCTCTTGGTGTAGTCGGGGCGTCGGATGAACGGCGGGTACGCGTTCTTGCCGTTCTCGTCCGCATACACGTCCTTGAACGCAACTTCGTCGTCCGGGCGGCCGCTTGCCTTGGCTTCCTTCGTGGCTTCGACGACTTCTTTTCGGACTTCCTTTTCGATTTCCTTGATTTCGTCGGCGGTGGCCAGGCCGCTTTCGAGGAGACGCTTCTTGACGCTTTCAATCGGGTCCCGCGACGCGCGCATGTTGGAGATTTCTTCGCGGTTGCGGTATGTCACACCAGGGTCCGACATCGAGTGGCCGTGGTATCGGTACGTACACATCTCGACGTAGATCGGGCCCTTGTTCGCGCCGGTCCACTCCTTCAAAAACTTGGTGCATTCGCGCACGGCCAGCACGTCGTTCCCGTCGCACCAGATACCAGGGATCTTGTTGCCCATCGTGTAGTACACTTGGTTGCTCGAGTGTCGTTCCGTGGATGTACCCATGCCGTAGTGGTTGTTTTCAATACAGATGATCGCGGGAAGCTTCCACAACGCCGCCATGTTGACGGCTTCCCAAATTTGGCCTTGGTTCGCCGCACCATCGCCGAACATGGTGATGGAGCAAGGCATGGGGCCGTCACCCTTGTGGTTGTACTTGGAGGCGAAGGCCAAACCGACACCGACGGGCACTTGGGCACCGACAATACCTTGGCCGCCGTAGAAGTTCTCCTTCTTGTTATAAAAGTGCATGGAACCGCCCTTGCCACCAATCGAGCCCGACTTGTTCCCGAACAATTCGGCCAAAATACCAGCCACAGTGCCGCCGCGGGCCAACATGGTGCAGTGGCAGCGGTAAGACGTAATCCAAGCGTCCGAGCGGTTGAGAGCAGCTTCGACACCGGTCGCAACGGCTTCTTGACCATCGTACAAGTGGCAGAACCCCTTGATCGTGCGCGCCTTGTACTCGTTGTCACACGTGATTTCCATGCGGCGCATCGTGTACATGAGGCGGTAGTAGTGCAGCAGTTCTTCGCGGGTGGCGTACGCCGAATCGCCGCAGGCCGGGCCTTCTTCCAAGTCTACATCATCGTGGATGAGCATTCGTCAGGAGGCAGTGTCGGATCGTACTGTGCAACTTGAAAGGGCGCGCAAGCTCAAACTTATGGCCTTGGGAGGCGGCAGCAAACCCGCGAGACAGCGCTGCGGGCTTGAACGAGCGTTGCAAGCGGCTGAGCATGTTGCAAGGAACTTTGGGCAATGAATACCGTCGCCACCTCTCAATCTCTCGTCATCGGCGGCAGTCGAACCGGTCGCTTGGGTCGCCATCTCATTGGTTGATTTAGGGACGTGGAGTGGTTTTTCGCGATTTTGATTGGTCCATTTGAGTCGCGGGGTGCAGGGGAAGTCCTTTTTAAGTTCGGTTTTCCTTGAAAGGATGCGTTAAAAAAATATAGTCATTGCTCAATACACTTCTTCTTATTGTTTTGCCGAGCACTGATGGCGTTATGGTTGTATTTGTTTGTAATTCCATACACATATCAAGTAAACACTTAACCTTAGAAAATAAATACGACAAGGAAGGTGAAAATTATGCAAATTGAAGGCGGACATTTAAACGAGACTCGGCATATCCTTGGTGGAGAGATTCACAGGTTACAGTCGCATCGACGTACCATGCGGCGGTAGCGCCGGGCCGTCGGGACGCACTGCTACCGGCGCGAGAGACGATGACAGAAACCGCATATACTGGACAAGATGTGCTCAGAACATACAGCTACTGGGGGGATGCGACGATTGGAACAATTCTGGGCCGGAACTTCGTCGCTTGGCGCATGTGCTGTGCTGGAACGCCTGCAGCCTTTCCAAGTCGCGCGTTTCGTCCATGTCAAATAGAACGATGGTGTTTGTGGATGCTTTCCGCACGGACGACGACGCCACGGAAACCGACATCGGCATGAGGTCGTCCAATGAGCTCTTGCGGGAATGGCTGCCAACACTGGTTTGTTGGCTGTCCGAGTATTGCCTCGCAAGAGAGTTGGCGAGTTTGTGGATCGCTTCAGACTGTTTCTCCAACTCTTTCGATCGCTTCTGGTGCAGGTTGAGCGCCGACTCGGTCAACTGAATTCCCCGCCGCGGCGGGACCTCCGCTTCAAGGTCGTCGCGTTCGTGATCCGACATCTCGTCGTCGTCGTCATCTTCCGAATCTGACGAGCTCAGACACATGGACCCATTGTCCGACCTTACTTCATCTTCGCGGTGACGCGTGGCTGCCGCAAGTTTGCCTGGACGGAAGTCATGATGGAACGCTGCAAGCGATGACTTGAGGTCGCCCGGTCCGACGGTCGATCTCCGCTTATCTGGCGTCGTCTGCTTCGGTTGACCTCTTGCCACTGCAGACGTTTGCTGTTGCTGCAGCATCAAGCTTGGCAATCCGTCTTTGAACATCTCCAGCGCTGGCGTTAGTTCTTGGGGGCCGACTGTTACGCGTCGCCGCAACATCGCGATCCCGCCAGCACCACCATGTTGACTTGTGATGGAATTGGGAATATTCCCAGCGATCCCTCGGGAATTTACCCCAAACTTCCCAGAAATGCCCCTGTGCGAGTCATGGGAAGAAAATAACTTGTAGTCGGTTGTGATCATGTGCCGCACCGAGTTGAGGACTTCGTCGAGGGTCTGCCGCTTTTGTCGCGCGTCCTCGCATGCAAGCGACAGACGATCCAGCGATTCCTTCTTGTGCAGGTCGGACGATCCGCGGCGTGCTTGTCGGACTTGGACGACGCACACTGTGCACACGCGAAGCAAGCGTTCGCCAAGCTCAGGGACGGACGCCGTGCGGAACGAGTAGCAGTTGCTGCATACGTACTTGGCGCACTTGAGGCAGCTGTAACGAGGTCGAAACATTGTTTTGAACTTCTTCTCGCATACGTGGCAGTAGTCGGCGTTGCCAGACATGGGGATCACTCGCTGCGGCAGGTCAAAGCTCCCGCCTTCGTCCTGTAGCACGCGTTGTACTTCAATGTACTTGAGCGTGCGAGTGATGCACTTGTCCACATGGGACTGGATCGCGCTGTTGGCGGCCCAGATCGGCAAGTCGCCCTTCGTGTCCATGTTGCATGTGTACGTCATGCGGAGTTCGCCTTTCTTCCCCGTGGTGTGGTAGATGAATCCCACGAGGGGGACATGTTCACGGGTGTATCGCCCGGATGAGTGATGCGACGACGCATCCACGGAACTCGGGACGTCGACGGATTGCATCACTCGAAACGCTGTCTTCTTGCCATGGGCATCTTCGATCATGTCGACGTACTACGATGAACAAAGCAATTACACGAATGCTCGTGGCTGCCCACGACAGAACGAGTATCGATTACCTCCAGCAGGATGAAGTCCTTGTCTTTGGACATGACAGAACCTTTGAACGCGGCCCACTTGAGTCCAACATATCGAAACGGGTTTTCCGTCGTGGGGGTCAAGATGTTGGCAAGGACAGCTCCATCGACAAAGTCGGACCCCAAAGTTGTCATCATCGACTTGTACGCGTTGGTGGAAGTTGTGATTAAGGCGTCCGTTACCTCGTCGATGTGAGCGACGAGCTTCGTCACAGCATGGACGTTGCACGGACCAAGGCCGCATAGTTCCGTGCGGTAAATCGAGAACGGTTTGTCGTACACGAGTTTCCATGGCATGGCTTGGGACAAGTTGGTCGCTGCCAGCAACGCTTGGGTCATGTGTTTCGCCACGTTCGTGAAGTGTTCCTTTTCGAGATCCGACAGGACATCAGGGACGCTGCCAACGGTGCACGATGCCGGCATCGCAGCGGTCGCGGACCCTCCTCTTGTCGATGGAGCCATTGGGAAACTGAGGTTGCGTTCCATCCCTCATCACATCCCATCCTTCTGCAGCACAGCAACGCCCGTGTTCGATAAATCACGAAAGATACCCGACTAATCCTCCGCCAATCACAGGCGAGGCAATTGTACGTACAGTACGTACTTTGTACGAATATCGGGATTTGATTGGTTCGTACATTATGGACGAAGGAGATGGCGGCATTCCAGCGTTCTGGCGCCAGCGTTCCCCTCCAACCCGAAGACGGAAGTGCAACGGGCCTGTGTGTCGTCGAGCAAGGGACCATAGGGCTGTATCAGGAGGACGGGCAGAGTCGCATAGCAGCTCGTGTGACCATCATGGAGGGGACGAAGAGACATGGCGTGTTGGGGGGATTGCAATGTCAGCAGGACGCCAAGCTACCGTCGACATTGCCACTCTCGCTGCCCGAGCGGCGAGAGCGACCCCGACACACGCAGCGACAAACGCTGTCACATAATCTACCGATTAAGCATGAGATACGACATTTCGCGAGAGGAAATCTCGTTCGACGACATGTGCGGGAACTATCTATTTCGCCATGGACGAGAAATGATCGACCTCAATGTTCCACGACATGTACTGGACAGGTGCGTATCGTGCCTGCTTGCAATGACTCAAAGTAGCGTCCAGTTGGCCTTCATCTTCACCGAGTCGCATCCGGCCAGCACATCAAGTGCCAACTGAAGGGGACGATCACGACGGTTGACTATCCATTATCGTGCACGAGAGTTCAAAGCCTTGATCGAGTCTGTCGGAGCTAACACACCATAATGTGCAAACACTTGGGAGTCGACATCCGCAGTGGTGTAATGCTGAGAAGGACTTCGGTGTCAAGTCCCTTGGGGCGAATTGATACGTCTTAATGCATGGGGAATGCAGGAAGTTGATACAAGTACTGCTATTCGGAGACACCACAGTTGGTGTCTGCGGCGTCTATGCCTGGGTCAAGCCCATTCACTGGAGACGCGAAAGTAAGCCCCGCATTTCGCATCGCGTACTCGGCGGTGGTGACAAGGAGTAACCTTGGAGGCGGCGACGGAGGGCGTCGTCGCCGCCAAGTTGTGCGGATGCAGCTCCAAGTTGCTCAAACTAAAATCGAAGTCCTCGCCGACTTCGCATTCGAAGTCGACCGAGAAACTCCGCCAATCAGAGGCCGCAAGCACATTTCAGCAATTCCGGATTGGTGGAATTTTGCAGTCGAAACGGCGCCGGGTTTGACCGCGAAAACAACCGCCACTGACAGTACCGTATCAACACGCAACACCGCAGCACCATGATGGCTCATTCTGGCATTTCCCGCCTCTATGGTGCTTACCGCGAAGCGGTCCCTGTCTCCGTCGGTGGAGGATGATGAGATATCGATGAAACGATGCTGCCGCCGCGACGTGCAACTCACCGACAAGTTCACGTTACATCGAGGGTGGCTGCACAACAAGGGGACGACCACAGGTGCCGCCGTCGCATCAACCGCAGCTTCTGCTTCTACTGCAGGGTTTCCGTGGCAACGATCGGCGTCAGCAAGGCAGACGCGGTATGTCACCACTCAAGACCGAAACCTTTACGTCGCTGCCCTATATACATTGACAAGCAATTTGGGCCTGATGCAAGACACGATCCACATGAGCACGTCACTCCTCGATCGATTCCTCAAGATTCAACCGATATCACTGGAATGGCTTGAAGTCGTCAGCATTGCGTGCATTTGGATCACAGCCAAGTTTAGCGAAACGCACGCTGCACTGTCCAAGCTTCGTGTGAAGGAAACCCTCCAGCAACGGCAAGGCCGAGCAGGCAAGGGCAACTGGACGTGGCACCACGTTCTCGTCCTGGAATGCCAAATCTTGAAGCGCCTTGGATTCCGCATCATGCACCAGACGTTGCATCGGCGATTTCAACAAGCCATGTCCGACGGCAAAATCACGCTCGCTCCATCGCAACTCGACGACGCGCAATACTTCCTCGATCTCAGCTTGATGGACGCAAAGTTTCTCTCGTTTGACGTGGACGACGTCGTGGACGCAGTCGTATTCCTCACGACCGAGTTCCAGCCAAACGCCAACTTTTCCTTCGACGCGATGGAACCTCGTGTCCGCGACCCTGTCATGCTCTTCTTCTTGCTGCACGCGAGCATAGATACAGACGCTGGCAAGATGCACCGGTCGCTCGTCTGCAAGCACAACCGAACGCTGTCCAAAACATGGCGGCATTCCAATCTGTCGGGACCCGCGTGCGCCTGCCGCATGTGCAAGCACGTCCATCCCATTCAATAGACCTAACTTATCATGTACCATACAATTCCTTTTCGTCGTTGCATGTGGCTAGTGTCTAGAGGAAAATGCGCAGTTTCGCGCATTTTTCAGGATTTTGAATATTTTGCAAGCCAAATCGAAGGCAAGGACACAATTTTTCGACGGTTTTTTGCGAATTTGCCGAGGTTTCTCATAAACCCCCTGCGAATGAGAGGGAACGGAATTTTGAACATGTCAACTTGGGTCCTCGCAGGTGCCGCGCGGACACCTGAGAGGACTCGACAGGATGGTCGCTGCCGACAACCCTCTCTCCCCGCAAGACGGGGAGAGGGAGTTACCCTCTGTCGCGACTACGACAGGACTTACGCCGCGTGGGTCGAAGGGGTCAGGAAAGCAGGATGGATGCCGCTGAGACGTACGCAGTCGGTGTTCCATCGGGATACAATTGTGGCATGTATGTAGGAGGAATGACGATGGAAGCATCCACCACAACGCGCTTTGATCAAACGCGTGTTTGCAAATATGGTCGTTGGTGTGTTTGTTACAACGAAAGCATGCTATTCTACCCCTACGACATGAACGAGTGACTGCAACGTTAAACGAAGGCGCTTCGAGACTCTTGTCGATATCGGAGACTCAACCCGGCGGGACGGAGTGCCGGTGACGAGTTGACCTTCTTGATTTGTTGTATGACAGGGTCCTTGACGAGTGCGTTGACCAAGTTCTACAACTTTTCCGTCATGTGGTTGTCGAGCATGAGCCACACTGACCTGAACAGTCGTCACGAGGGCCTTGCGCTCCGTGCGCAGACTCTCAATGCGTTCCTTTCTCGTCGCAAGGTTTGCCAGGTACCAAACGTTTTCCATGATCGTGCGGCTTTCTTCCAGCACACGAATATGCGAGTAGAGGAAGAAGGGCAGGGCAATCATGAGAACGTATGCGGCCGACGATCCGTAAATGCACGCGGCCGTCGAAATAAGCACGATCCACTGCGCCGGGACAAGAACACTACCAGCAACCTCATCATACCACCGACATCGACCCGCGTCCCTTACATGCCCGCCGCCAGTTTGAACATACTCCTCGACTCGGTGTACCCAGCCAGCACGTTGAGCTTCGTGCCTACACACGAGACTTTGTCGTCAGTGGCAACTCGATCACGAGAGATGCGAATACCCAAAAAGTAAAATGGCAAATTCAACAACAAGCCGGGGGTGGCCACCGGCAACAGCACGAGCAAATACATCAGGCGCTCAATAGCCAGCGTGACAAGCGACTCTTTCACGTCCAGAAGTAAGTCGCTATCCTTGATGCGCAGGTCATCGAGCGCATGCTGGTACTTGGTCACGTCTGCCTTGAGCTGGGTCAGCACGCTACAGCCGCCACGAACGCGTCAATCGAAGCAGACAGCATGGTGGAGACGCATGCATACACAGTCTCGGTCTCTTTGGCAGTCAACTTGCCCTCGACGAGGTCCACGAGCTGCTGGGTGAAGTGGACGTCGTCTTTGGGGTGCAGCGGTTCGGCGCAGTAGAGGCGGCGAATCGTGCGCGCGACACGGAACGACTCAAAGTCGTGTGCGTTCAACGTGACACGATGCATGCGTTCCTACATCGATAAGCTCGAGCGAGTGAAGACGGCGTCGAGTACCTGGAGTTCTCCAGTCAACCGCTTCACTTCTGCGCGCTCGTCGGCGCGAAATGCGTCTGTTTGAATCACCGACTGATCGACGACGATCGGTTCGCCAAACTCCAACGAAACTTCGCTGTGTGGTCATGAGCGTCGGGGTCCCATGTTGCGCAACATTATCATGACAGTACCTGCGGAAGTGGTCTTTGTTGAAATACGTCAACCCGACCGGCACGACCGTGATGGGTGTGTCGTACGCCTTGACGAAGCCAGTTGCAACACGCATGACCCCCGTGCGCAACTCCAACATGTGCGGCAATGTGTAGGACGTGCCTTCAGGAAACAACACGACAAGGTGGCCAGCATGGAGCACCTTCCACGTGTCCTCAAACATGTGGCGCGTCGCAGCGGCAATTTCCTCGGGTGTTTTCTCCGAGTCCACATCTTGGTTTGCAAACTTCCCTGGCGGTCGAAACACAGGGACCGCCCCAAGCGCTCGCAAGATTCGACCTGCAATAGGGTTCTTGAACATGGACGCTTTCGCCCACGCGTAGGGGTTGCGTCCCATGTGCGTGCACTGAGTCAAGACGAGTAGGACGTCGATCATCATGTTCGGGTGGTTCGGACATACGACGACAGGACCTGCGAAGGAATGTCGTGTACGGCGTCCTGGAAGCTTACATCTGCCGTACCTTCTCGCGGGAGGTGATTGACGCCATGGACTGTGATCCGTCGAAAGTACAAGTGGCATGCAAACCGGAGGAAGTTTGACAGCATTCCATATCCATGCAGCGCGATGATCGCAAGCGCTGCGGTGAGGAGAACGACATGCACGACAACCATCGGGGGTGCTTGCACGACCGAGGGAGATGAGAGGCGAAGATAGCAGCACTCGAGTTACAATAAATTCATCTCATACAGAGTCAAAGTGTGTTTTTTAATGACCATGGTTATTTTATCCTACGAAAAAGATTTTCCAAAAAACTTTCTTCAAGACGTGGCAGACCGACGAGTCCGTGAAATAATATTTTGGTATTTCAATATATTGCAATATTTCACGATATATACTCAGAGTTGCTCATACAATTTGGCTGTACACGTACAATGTATCGACGGTACATGCTACCAAATAGCATCGTTCAAGATACGACTACAATTAGACTTGAAATTTTGTATCTTCTCCAATCTACTACTCCGTTTCACAAAAACTGTCAGGTAGTTATTCACTTGATTAAAGCATATACAGTGCAATTGAAACAACTTGATTTTTTTATACCACTTCAAAACAACATAGCCCGCTCCAGAAATTTTATTGTATTTTCTTTATAGAGTGATTTTGCTAAGGCCGAGTTTGGATACCTCAAGTTTTAATTGTCAACTAAACTAGATGTGGAGCTTCGAATCAAATTAAAAAATGTA